TATGTACTATATTTTTTCTCTCTAATTTTACACGTCATTTTTTCAATCAAAACTTTATTAAGGCTCTTCATTTGTTTTTTCTTTTCATAATTGAGTAAAATTAATTTTATTTCTAAAGTTTCCACCGTAGTGAAATTAATTTCTAAACGACTAAACTTAATGAACTCCAAAAGTGTTGTAATAAAAGATAACTAATTTTTTTCACTTTTAACTTTATATATTAAAATACTTTATTTGAATTGGAACCGGAAGAAGCAATAAAATATATATAATTAATTTCAACTAAAATTTGTATCGTTTCCATGAACTTTTTTCTAGTACTTATATTGATATTTGAAGGCCTGTTCAAAAATGATAGTATTACAAATATTATGTTATACATTTTTACAAAATCAATGTATTCTTATTTCTCAACCGTAATACTTCAACTAAAATATAAAATGTTATTAATAAACAGTTGAGACAACACGATGTTAAACTTAATGATATATTTCATTTAGTGGGCGAACCACAAAACAAAACTTCAAAATCGTATAAAATATTTGTATATCAATCCTTAATGTATCTACATTATTTCTTTTTATTTCCGATAAAATTTCAATACATAAATAATAACAATTAATGTTTGATTTTTATACTATTTCCGTTATGATAGGATGTCGAAAAGAATAAATATTTTTTCTTAATGACGGCAAAAGTTTGTTTGCAGTATATGACGAAGCATTTTACCGTCGTTTTTCAAACGTCACAATAAATCATAAATCGACATCATCTTGGTAAATACAACTTCAATCATGAGTTCTAGTCAGTCCGTGTGGTTTATACTTATTTTAATACCGCACAACGTATCAAGAAATTTTTGAATTTTAATAGAAAAACGCTTCATTTTTTATTAGAATAAATAGAAGCAATGGATAAAACAATGACTAGGTCGGTTAAAAAAAAATAAAATAAATAACAAATATTAGTTTTGAAAATTCTATAATAAACTAGAACATAACTTATAATCATGAAGTATTCAGAGAAGAATGAATGTAAAAAGGGAAAATATTTTTTGAAATGTGTAAAATCAAAAGACGTTTTTGTTATGTCTCTAAGGATATTTTAGAACTTAAAGACTTACAAAGTATTATATAATGTCAACATTCTATAGGATATCTACCGGAATCCGGGGTGGAATTAGGAGTACCTAAGTCAAGGATATGTAAACTGACACATATGATCAAAGCATAAGTAGGTGTGCAGTGCACTACGAGTCGACAATGATCCATTATCTGTACTTAATAGACTCTACTAAATAGAGGATGATATTACAAAGAATATAATATATGATGACGAACATGATACCACAATACAGAATGTTTGCATATTATGATACAATGACAGTAATAAACTAGAAATTTAAGTAAAGTTAAAAGTTTTAAGCATTATAAAACCCGTCTCGTGTATGAGAATAGAAAATCGTACGTAGCCAAAAAAATTATGAAATGTAAAGTGATAGCAATTCGATCAGATTATATATTTTATAAAAAAAAATTTTTAAACACACATTACTAAAATAATGAAACGAACAAACGATTAATGCAAAATATAAAAAATCCTTTTTTAATGGCAACAATAAATTGTGCATACATCAGGAAGATCTAGTAAATTTAGTAAAAGACAAAATTAGACAAGACCGACCTGGCTAAGGCAAGTTAGAATATATTGTAGGTACATGAAAAAAAAGAAACAAATAAAGAACCAAATGGCTAAGGGTGATTAAGAATGATGAGAAGGCGGATGATGTGAGTATGTGACCAAGGTTAAGGCAATTATTGCTTAAGGACAAAACATATAAAATTATCACAAACTTGATTTAAAATTAGGGTATACACTAGAAATAAAAACAAATAAAATCATAGCCGTTGTTAAAATTAACTGAGTGTCAAAAGTGTCTCCAAGTGTCAAAACATATTTGTATAGCTATTGTTTTTCAACAAATAATTTCGAAGTCGACGTGTTACTGACACAATAAAAGAAGTAGTATTGTTTATTATGGAACCGAGAAAGGTTTATTATAGACAATTTATAATAAGAAGCTTAACACAAGTCCGTGAGGAAAGGTATAAAAAGACAAGCCGGTTATAAATCGACACCTTTCACGAAAAAGACCTTTAGCCCTATTTCGATTTTTGCCAACGTTTGTTTTTATCGACAAAAAACATCTTTATAAAAAAAATAATATGTGTGATACATCTTTTTGAAGTTAACAACGTGATACACACCTAAAGGAAAAAAATAGATAATTTAACTTTTTAGTAAACCGTAATCGTTGACTATAGACAATTTACTTGACCCGTTGTGTTAAATAGCCCTCATATATTTTTCAATATATGTCAAAATACAAATATGTAGCACACACAGAGGTGTAGAATGGGGTAGGATAGCCAATATGTCAATACAGTACATAATTGTAAGGTAAAATAATAAATAACTTTGCAGAAAAGCGAAAGTAAACCTAATTTTTCTTAAACTAAATCTATAATAACTTCTTTGAGATAAATCGACTTCAGAAATTGTTTAACTCAATTTGTTTTCTTTTCGAAAACAAGAGATATTTTTATTCACTAGAACGCCTTAATATCGTTATGTTCCTGCGAACAAAATAGAAAATCTATTTTTATGAATACTTCAGAACAAGCTCTAGTTTCTGGCATGATTAACACATAAACACACACTTGTGTACAGATGTGATGTATTTATTATGATTACGAATACACATGTAATAGACAAAGCAGTAATAAGAACGTTATAATTTTGTTTTGGTAATAAAATGCATTTAACAGTTATTAAAACAAATCCGTAACAAATGCCATACGAATTGCCTACTGTTTAGTTACAAAGTTAATAAACTTTGCTGACGCCATAATAAATAGTGATTTTATACATACAAGGTTGATAGTAAACATTATATCGCTATACAAATTTCACATCGGAAAAAAATGTTCTAAACTAAAAAAAAAAAAAAACATTATAGTTATAACACACCCATAACTTTTTAGCTTTATCTAAGCTAAATGTCATCCTTTTTACTGGTATAAATTATTTGGCACATTATTTTTAAGAGGCGGTGTAACATCCAATGATCCCATAAACATGTCAATAAAATCTTTTGTACCCGTCCTCTCTGTACGCCAAACCATTTCTAAAGGGACGACTCTATACAGCCTTTAATCGACTATAGACAATTTCTTTGAAAACCGACGCTATCAATAATATCACCAAAAGCACAAAATAATATATCTTCCCCAGTGTCAATATTTCGTATTATTTTGTAATGCAAATTATGGTGCGCCTCAAGACTTATAATAACGTTATGCATGATGTACTACAATGTTAAAAATACTTTAACGTTCTCAAGCTACTATCTTAAGCACTCGACATATTGTGTAATGCTCAGTAGCGTCATACTTTATTCAACTGAGCATTGTATGTATACAGACACGGTTCAGCCACGATCCTACTAATACCTAAGTACTAACACTATAACACAAGTTTTATATTACCTTCACATAAAAAAAATATTTAAAATGTACATATATTTTATTAAATTCAAATATCCATACTATCGACTGATAAAGATTTTAGCTTTAGACAAATTTAATGAAGCCATTAGTTTTCTAATAATAACGGTTTTAATAACAAATTCCTGTGTAACAGGCTACAGTGCAAGAGCACTGTCCACACGGGCACATACGTGCATAGTTGTCAATGTGGGCAAATATTTAAAAAAAAAAAAAGGAAAACTCTGTGTTTGACTAATGTATGATATTTGTATCTACTCCGAAAACTACACAACGTACATTTTTAAATTGAATTTACAGTTAAACAAAATTCTATGTCCAAATGAAAAAAGTGTTTTTAATAGTATTACATGTCACTACGGAATCTGATTAATTCGAGAAATTCGTGAAGTACATAATTGATTTTCACTATTTGTTAACAGATATATTGCGTATGCCAAATTGTCTGTATTCTCGACACGTACGCAAATAAATGCGTTTATTGATTAAAGAATATTCGTTTTATTTTTTATTATATATCACTAATACTGTTGTAGTGGATACCAGTGTTATCCGTATATTACTAATTTTTTTTTCTTCAGCTTCAGAGGCCTTTCAGGCCCGTTGCTCTGCAACACACACTTCCTCGTGGCTTCCAACTTAGGACCTCCTTTGCAATCATGTTAGACCTTAGTATGTGACCTAGCCAGCTTAGTCTTTGGGCTCTAATTACCCCAATTATATTATTATTAATATATATATTAGGTAACTAATAGTATATATAATATTATTAACCGTGAAACACTCAATTTCTAACATTAAAATTTAGTATTTTTTTTCGTTTTGAAACCTTTTTTGTTCATGTTCTTTTACAATACCCACTCAAAAATAAATTTTTGTTTCGGTTATCGATTGTTAAAATGTTCATTAAATTATTTTTAATTTTTAAATTTAACAAAAATATACGTTCTATTCAAGTTTCAAAAGTTGATAGAGTTTTGGAATTAATTAAAACTGAAAAAAATTTGAATATTGTCTAATATTGTAAAAAAAACATTAATCTCCTTGTAATTGAATTTTGAAATAACTTTGAGCTTATTGTAAATTAATATGTAGAAAAAAAAATACAAGTATTCATTCAGTGGTTTCTACATTTTTTTTTTTTTTGTTCATTTATTGGAGTTGCTTCTTTTTCACAATGATGCAAGGTGTGACTCCATTAAGGAAAAATATGCATATTTTAAACATATTTTGTAGTTACACCACTTTTACAACGACCGACCTAAGTATCATCGAAACTATTGGAATCATAGCCCACCTGCGCAAGTGATTATACCCGTTGGCTGTTACTTTCGCCTCTCGGGGTCGGGTTGCGGAAAACGGGGACGGACGTGGACTGTTTCGGTAATACAGCTAAATGTGCAGGTTCTATTATAGGTATAGGTAGGTACTCACTTAGCGTCGAGTTGATTTTCTTGATTGTGGGGCAGATTTTCCACAATCCAATGCGGAACGCGACCACCGTATACATTTCTGTGCCGGGCACTTTGTATGGTTCCCTGGTGGTCACCCACGACCCTGTCACGAATCCCGTGAACAGGATGGCCAACGATGCCACGCCAAACACAACGCTAGTCCTCGACACGTTATCCGGAACTTTGCTGACCGCACACATTGTCAACCGCCGGCCCGGACGATTACACCCCACGTCGTCACGCGTCAAAGTCAGTCGCCTGGTGCCGCCCCATCCACAGTGCCACTATCGCCTGTAAAACGCAAATTTTCAAATGATGAAACGACGAAAAAGTTACAAAATAATTATGTTATGCACCCGCTTTGCCGGCATAAAAAACTTGTGTCTGTGTTTATAACGAAAAACGCATGCCGTGAAATTTGTAGATGACGATTTTTTCGGAGGTAATATCAATTACCTGCAATTGTCCACTGTTCGTGTACGTGCCCTTTGTGGCTTCGTCTCTTGTCATAATTGTTATTAAAACTGATAAGAGATTATTGATAGGAGAATCGGTTGATAAGAGATTAAAACTCGAAAACAATGCCAGAATCTTGTATCCACGGTTGGCGAATGAACCGCAAACCGGTCCCGCTAAACACATCAGGATCGGCCATTGAACGAGGTAACGCAAAAATGAATACCTACTCGAATTTGTCCTCGTAGAAAAAAAGTTGACGCCCCTAGAGATGAGACAGGTACATGTCAAAAAACTAACTTGAAATTACAATTTCAAAAAATGTACAAAACTTGTTTGAAATTGTAAAATAAAAGTGTAATATATTCCTTAAAAAAATAAAGATAGACTGGCTACGAGCTGATCTAATGAAACCAGTCTGCCACTATAATCTGACTCATCGACTTATAAATACTGTGTGTTTAGAGTACACATTTGTACCTACTTATATAATATCGGGTCAACATTTTCTTTAGACTATATTTAAACAATTTTTTTTTTTTTTTAATAATAAATATATGATTTTTAAACGTTTTAATCAGTTTAATTGTTATTAACTTTTGATTTAAAACGTGGCTTTTTTTAAATACTACTTTTTCGAGCGATCTACTGTCAACATTAAAACGACCCAGTCGTAAAAGTACGGGCAATTAAGATTTATCAAAATTAATTAGGTTGAATAAAAAGTCAACCTGTTGAATTTAATATCTTTAAGCGGTTGTACGCCGTTTGTGAACTTCTTCTAAGGAAATTGTCTACATCGGAATGAAACTGGGTATTTTATATTATTATACATTGTACACTCGAAACAATATACAACTTTTCACTTAGTTTAATTCAATGTACCTTTTTCAAAAACTTTCCGTTTAATGACTTCCTGTTAATAAGCTCGTCGTTTTTTTTTAAAGCCAAATGTAATCAAACATTTTAAACTGGGTTAACAGCTCTTTATAATAGTCATTCCAAGATTACCTTTCTCACTCACTTCTATATATTACAGTCTATAAAAATACTTTTAAAAAAACCATCGTTTTTTGTATCATTACGTTGCTTAAATCACACATGATTTTAGGCATAACATAATAGGAAATTATACAACCTATTTATTCAAAAGTTCGGTATAGATGCTCTTTCGAATAATCATAAGTTTAAGTTAAATTTTTGTGTACATATTTTAGTTCAGTCATTAAATGTTTTTATTACTAGTTAATTTTTTATCATACCATTTTATCACAACGTCATTTAACAACATATTTCATTATTTTTTTACCAAACCATAGCTAGGGAGATTGTTTTTTACTCGGTTCACGATGGTTTTAAAGTAGAAACATCTATAAATAAAATTGAAAGATGGCGATCTTTTAGAAAAAATGTTAAATCTGTTTTTCTACACCTTCAATACCTATTTAGCATATCTAATTATTTGGCTATTATTAGTCAAACAAAGTTTAAAAGTTATGTTGTCGTTTAGTTAAATAAAAAACCGTCATAATATAGAAAATAACGTACTATAAGATATTTTTTTTAGTACCGATTAAAAATTAAATAATGTAATACCGGAAATGCGTTTACCAAATATTTAACCGGCGTTTCCCTAGACGCAAGTCGCTGTACTGACTATTGTCGAGTTAATTCACACCAAGCGTGCTCGAATCCGTTTTGGGCCAGGTTTCCTTATGGTACGATATTGTCAGGAGGTGCTTACATTGTTCTATAATTGCATTTTGTCGCGAATGTGGCCCGATTGTGCAGTGATGGTCTTTTTGGGAAACTAAAACACACCTATTGGCCAATTGTATGAACCTCCGTCGGTGGAATAATGCGTACTTACTCGTTCCCGGATGTTTCCAATTAAAACACGGTTTTCCGGCGATGTCGTCCCGGCGACAAAAACAACAAGGACCAGATAAGTCTATTGTGTACTTAGAACGAGGAAAGCAAGTCACGTCACCGCCAGACGTTGCATAGGCACTAGGCAGTGTTAACACTTCCGGGCCGCCGGATAGTTTTAATAATAATAATTGTACACGGTTAGGCTTGGGACTCGGGTACGTTTCCGGCGGAAGGAAGCGACCGGTGCAAAAGCGCACCTTAATTATATTTATTGCCCGCGGCAAAAGTTCAGTGAATCCACTACGGCAGAGTCCATTGCATTCACAGAAAACACATGGCAAACACGGCCATTAGCATTAGGTCGTATCTGCATTGCTGGCCGTTGAATGTTATCATATTTTTTTTTTTTTTTTTTTACGTTTACACGTGAAATGCAAACAACTCTTTTGACGACAAATCCGAGCTCGGTTCGTAAATAAAAACCCATAACGCTATTATTGGTTTCCGGAAACTCATATGCATGCAAAACGCATAACTGCATTATCCTAGTATCGAATATTACTTGTATTTATCCCTTTTTAAACGCAATGGATTTCTAAAAACTACCTATTCCAAATTATAAACCTTTGTACCACATTCATATATACAATGTTAACCTTTTAAGAAAGAGGTTGAGCCAAAAAACATTCCATTATTACATTTTGTTTATTGCATTATATTAGCTGTAACTACAAAATATAGAATTCGATTAATGCGTAAACTCGTCAATACCTTAAGAATAAATAAACTATGAAAAATACTGCTAATGGGAAAATAATTATGATTACGATTAAAAAATTAATCATGGCCATAATTCATTCGGCTACATAATATTTTTCATGGTCAAATATAATCCCCAACAATATAAATATTACATATTATACTTAATCTTTAGGTATTAACGAACACAACAAGCATACATAAATCAAATTTATAATGCCTTCAAAATGGATCGAGAATTAAATTTATAAGTGCATTATGATTTATAAATGTATCAAGATGTTGTATCTATTATCAATTATCTGCTTCTGATTATAATACTAACAAAATGTAATCATCGGTTAATCGTGGATTTGTTTTACCCAACACTGTTCTTGGAATGACTATTATAAAGCCTAGACTTTGTTCTCCAGATTTTTTTTCAAAGTACTATACAAATCGTATAATAGAAATCTCAGAACAGTTTTTATCTAGAATACATTCAAGAAATAGTAATAGAGAAAACTAACAATTTAAACTAAACTAATTGTTTTATCATTTGGGTCGTCAGGCACCCGCAGAAAGAGCGCTTAGCTTTTTAATGTAGTAAGTAATAGCGCGCATATTAAGTATACGATTTTTAAATATATATGGTAAAATATTTTATAAATAAGTTTCTAAAATATATGTTTGCAATATTTATATATTGTAATGACTAATGATACATCATGTATGTTAAAAGCGTCCAATAAGTCATATCCGCTAATTAAACAACGTTAGATATAAAATATACTGTAACTATGTAAACGAAGATTATTTCTAAGTTTAATACCATGAAAAATGTAATAATTATAGCTCCATACAATTTTTTCATTTTATCTCATTTTTACTTGATTAAAAATAATGTTTCTCTTTTATACCTATAATAATGCAAAGCTTAAAGCAAAAAGCGTTTTATTTAATGTGTAATTGAGTTTTGAAAAAATATTGTTTTTCTAAATCGATATTCTATAACATATTTTATATGTTATAACTTTTTAACGATGTCTTGGGCGCTTTAGGGGCTTAAAAAAAGCAATTTTATAAAGAAAAGTATTAATACTGTACACACATACATCATTTCTTAATAAGTAATAACCTTTAAGGAAGCATTTAATTTAACTCGGATTTTCTTATTTTTATTTAATACCATATTTTATTAAATATTCTACTTGTTAAGCAAAATAAAATTATTTCGAACTTAACCTACTCGGAATAAAATAAACTAATATTAAAAAACCAAATATAAATAAATAAGCAAATCTTAAAAAGAACAATATAATTGAACAGAAATTATATTGATTATTCATGGTATTTAATCATAGTTACAAAGCCGCAGAAATCATAAACAAAAATTATGCGGAACACTTGAAAATATCAAATTCGATGAACAAGTTAAAATACACATTTTAATATTGTATTGAAAATTGTTTTTCAGTCTACTTTACAGCTGTACACATCATGCACAATGCACCACATACATGCCATCATATAACACATATGTATATCGGTATATTGTATGTTTAACAATTTAAATTAGTGTTAAAATACAATTTTATTTTGACGAATATTTTACGCTTTCAAACGCAGTAATCCAGATTCCATTATATCCTAATATTATATTATTGCACAACATACAAACTGATTTATTCCGGAAAGGTTCACTTTACGAGGAACTGATTACCATTATTTAATAGATTGCATTATTTTATACCCGTTTCACTTTGTCATATTATAATAGTGTTTATTTTTTAAATGATTAATTCTCTCTGTGACGGCGTATTAGGTAGGCAATTTTAGTACTTTAATGCAATGTCGAACTGTTTGTGTTCATGTTGTTACCCATCTGGTGGGCAAATAACATCTCCCACGCATTATTATACGTTCTAGAACCTATTTAACCCTATCAGTCGAGAATTGAATTAAACTAAATTTACAATTTAACATTTTAAAATAAATACAAATAATGTCCATAAAGTAAAAACAAAAAATTAGACTGGAAGGGTTTAAAATAACAATAGTAATATTTCAATGTATTTAAACAAACTGTGACAACATATTTTATTATTAAATAAATTACTTCACATTGGACAATTCAGCCAAGACAAGTGTCCAATGTCATAAAACAATATTTATTTGATTTTAATAAACATGACACATTAGATGTTATATTACGTATATTATTCACTTCATCAAAACAGTAGGTACCTATATGTATTATTATTTATTCTATGTATCTAGACAAACTTATAATACTAGTCAGATAACAACAAGAGTGTAAATAAAGCATTCTTCAAACCATTATACCGTGTTTTTTTGGTTTTATTTTTTTAATGAATATTTTATAAGAGTTGTCGATAGTATTTGGATTAAAACAAAAGTCACGATTCTGGAAAATTTGTGTTGACAAATGTTTACCTATTGCGTTTTCAATAATTCATAACAATACAGTAAAAATTATTTTAATATATTATAGCGCCCTTGTGATGACGTGTACATTTTAAAAAGGTCGACCATGCCCGATTTGATTGCAAACAAATTTTACAAACGTAGAGCAAATATTAGAGAAATATACATGAAGTGATAAAACGATATGTACGTATTACAGTTGAATAATATTATGTTAAATAATCATAAAAAAAATGGTATGTTTTCAAATGAAAATAACTTTTATAACAATACCTAGAGTTCCAATACTCAGAAACTGTTACCGGCTTCAAGTAACTACTTGTAAACTATAATAGGTCCATATATGATGTTTGCAATAAAAAAAAACTTTCAACCCGTTTTAATATTTTATGCATTTGTGTATGTAGCATACTCTGAAAAAACTGACTAATAATCTAATGACTAATGACTTTTTCATCGACGTCAAGCGTTGGAAACAGCTGGTAGTTGATGGATGATGAAAATTTTCGAATAAAAAATATTTAAGATAAATCGATGGGCAAAAATAATGATACGAGATATGGATGATTCTTTTTTTTTTAGAGAACACGAATATTGGTGATTACTGTATTTTGTCAAAGCTTAAAACAAAATCTTAATTTGTCTTCGAATATCAGAGCAAGTTTTGAACATAATATACGGTTAGCCACACTTAAGATACTTTTGTAAAAGTGTATTATTACAATTATTTACATATTGAACTTTTAAAATCGTAAAAAATCTAAACACATTACTTAATTTTGTTTCGATTACACTTATTAGATCATTTATGAATTTGTTTTTTAATGTCTATATATATATAATCCGAGTATGAATGTGCAGCCCCCTCCCTATATCAAAGAAAAAAAGCAGTTCGTGTGGAAGAAGGGGTGGAAAATGTCAGTTTATTTCTCTTTGTACAACACCTATTTTGTTTAACAAGAGTTTGTAGTGTTAAAAAAATATATACTTAACTCGTTTTGGTCATTTAAGGAGGGCAAATATTTTAAAAAGAACTTAGTTCTCATTGTGAATAATATTTCGTCTGTCGAATACGATAGACACATAAAAGATATACTCAATTTTAAACGAGTTTTTACATTGTTGATACGTTCAAGTGTGTTTTAAAATATTTAACAGGTAATAAAACATAACATTTAGGGTATGGAGACCGCTCGGTGTTGCTCGAATTATAATTATGCATACATTAACGAGTCGCAAAGGTAAATTAAAAAAAAAAAATATGGAGCTACTAATAAAGAGGAAGCGATAATGGCGTTTACCCCGACCTCCCAGTCTTGTCTTTGGGTTGTTGAAATTTAAATATACATTTTAAACTGACCCAATGGACTTCAAAATTGTGGCCATAATGTGTTGAAAAAAATAATTTACCAACAGGTCGATAAAAAAACCGCAGTTTCGGTCAGCAGGAGAAATACTTTTATTGCGAAAAACCTGTATTAACAATTTACACAATTTTCATTTTTATAAATGTTCATATTATTATATCATCATTACGCACTTTTGAAGAAAAATCAAGTGAGTAGTTTGTTTCATTTATCTTGACCTTTAAGTGTTCAACAAATTGGGAATTTGATATATATATATATATATATATACATACATACATATATACATATATATGTTTCCTAAGTATGTTACTGCAGTGATTCCGTTCTAAATGTGAAGTTTAACTTAGTACCCACTAACTAGGGACTTCCCAGGGGAGTAACCTACTCATTATCATAAACCTCACATTTAGCTTAATTTAGAAAGCAAATTTTTAATTTTGAATAACCACTAACCATTAAAAACTAACATTAACGAGGTAGCAAACTACGAGGAGAGACCTCGTGCTGAAGAGGTCTCATTCTCAGATTATTTGTATGATATTTAGCGTTAAACAATTTATTTATTATATTACCAAAGTTTGTTACCATAAAAAATACAAAATTATTTTGCTTTTGTATTATCAACCTAACAAAGCACGGATAGAATATTATTAATAGACTAAATATAATAGCTGAATAGCAGACTATTATAATTAAAACATTGCTAAATGATATTGACAACGTGCTTAAGCCACCACCACCGTGGAAAACAATTTCAAACGGGAAATCTAGATTTTACGGTAAAGAAAATGATGGATTTAGTTCGAATTTTGTTTTATATTTGTATTTTATTTTGAAATAAAATATTGTTCATACCAAAAAAAAAAAATTAAAAACATTAAAAATACTCTAATGAAAGGCCTTTCTAAAGGCAATCATTAGTATTGTAATGAGAGTGATTTATCACATTTAAATGTATGCATACTTATAATACAACTAGCAGCCACGCCAACCCTGCTCGCTGCGTTGGCGATGTTTAACTTAACAAAATGTGGTTTTAAAAAGCACGATTTCTTTTATAATCTTTCGACTGAAATTTCCTATACATAATGAACTCTCAAATTTGCCATGACATCACTTTGGCGTTTAGAAAACATGTCAGGTTCTTAACGTTGGCACTTACAAAAAACCACAAGTTTATTAATAAAATAATTATTTTGTTTTTTGGCACTTAGGAAATTTCATCCTGCAATACTGTGTCTCCAAAAATCTGAATTAGTGAACTACAAACTATAAACCTAATACTAATACTGCCACTTTACTAAGTTTATACGATAAAAAATATATATATTGTTGCCAAAATTAAGAAGACGTTATATTACTAATTTTCAAGAGTAAAAATTTGACAAAGCAGAATGCGTTTTACTTGAGCCATAATGGTTTTAGAGAAAAAACACTACAGCAATAATGAAAATAAACAACATCTTGTAAACAATGAAATATCTTTGTTTTAAATGATTTTCACAAATAAAAGTTATCACCGTTTTGAAAAAAAAAACGTATTTTACCAACATTGAGTAATCTAAACAATGAATATATTGAACAAAAAAGGATATGTCATTGTCTCTGAAATGTCATCACTCATCATCTTTCTATTTCATAACAAGTATCATCGTAGGCCGAATAAAATGCAATTTTTGTAGTAATATAGAGGTTAACAAAATATCTTAAAACATTGTCAAGGGTCCCTGCGATGATCTGATAAAATAATTAATTAACAAAGAAGAATCTTCAAGGGTCAAGTGGGATAAATATAAATAGAGGTAACCGAAAACAAGGCTGGCATAAAAAAAACAAAGAAATAATGCCATACAACTCTGAAGTTGATAAGGTAGTAAATTATCTCTCATAGACATGTATATAACATCAATATATTAACTACAGTATCAACTATCATTTGAAAAACGTGTTTGTCACTATCAGACAAATTCTTCAAAAAAGTGTAGTGTATGTTTGGATTATTTTTTTGGTTTATGTTAATTCAAATTTTAAGAGCTAGTGATAATATTTTAGCGCACAACTTTCTTTTAATATAAGATACTAAAAAGTGTAAGTACAATTTGAAAAAAAATAGTTGTAAAATCCGTTTACGCTTGACCTCACTTGACCCTACTAAAAAATTAATACGCGTAATTGTTTAATTTCTATTTTGATATGTCGCAAATATTTGCCCATTAACATAGGTGCGACTAGAAAAGGGGTGGGGCTGAGGAAGTTCGGACCTTTACAAAACTCTAAAAACGCTCCCTTGAATTTCAGCGAAAATTATAAACTTACTCATGGACTGTGCCTGATTGGTACAATCCTAAGTACAATTTTTTTTTTTTTTTTTTACCTATTCTTCAGGTACACCAAAGGACTCTTGGCGGCGACCAATACACAGCGCAGTGTCGGTTGTATGATACTATTGTTTTTAGGTTTACATCAATTACCAACCGTTTTGCGAATATTTATATGTTGCGTCCAAGTGGTTTGTGTTGGTCGACGAACCGTTGAGTTCACGCGCGTTCGAACCGTTTAAGCGGCGCCGGCCAACGCGGAGGGACGACCGAGATGCACGGCCACGTTTAACAGACTGCTGTGCGCCGCGCCGGCCGCCTGTTCTCCGCCAAAGGGCCACTACCACACAACCGCTATAATATTGTATTGTGTGTACAACCGAAACGCGCCTGTGTTATTGTTGTTCACAAGCCGGACACGCTAAATGAAATAAAGAGAGTACATTTTCTATCGGGTTTTCGAGCGTTTGCCCGTCGCTTTTATCGAATTGATTTCGACCGGGCAACAAGAAAAACAATCGCGTCAAAGCGTCTCTACAGAGCCGAAAAATCTGACATGTATTGCTCTAGACGTCCCGCGGTCTCGGCACGAATAAGACATAATATACTAACGCAGGCACAAAGTGCGATAGCCTTTGCCCACGTTGTTGTACAAACAACGTACGAGAAACCCCAATGTTTATTATCTCTCGGTTTTTCGAACCCACCGAAAATCATTACACCCTGTAACGCTCAAAAGGCCATGATGTATTGCGGCGGCGTCCTTAAGTGGGTTTTTGAAAAAAAAAAATTGTGTTGGTACCAACAAGGTTTTATTCGAGTAAAAGTATGCTCGAATTTTGGAGCTTGTCGTACATTTGGCTAATTTTTTTCATCGAGAAATATACCACAAATACAGTTAATATCCCAACCGGGTTCCGATGTTTGTTATGTTAAAAACGACGTCCAATTGACTAAATCCAACTACGTCGAACTTCTTACTATTGAAGTTATTTACAAAACATTTATTTACTTCTCTTTTTTTTTTAAAAAACACAATGTCTGTACAATATCTTTGTTGTAAATTACTATTTTTTGTGAATTCCAACTGGTATACTCAGAATGTTTTGCTGAAGAAAAAACTCGCCTTATATTTATACTTTTTATCTTATAAATCGCAAGTTTAGTAAATACATACATGTATATTATATCTACTTTGTTATAAGAGTTAAACTTTGTAAGTAATTGTTTTATCACCTACTTATTTCATTCATACTAATTAAATTATGTAAAATTTTACGAGAAAGAAAAAAGTCAAAGTAATTTAAAAGACAGATTTGCAATTATGTTTTTCTTAAAAAAAACGAAATTGAAGCCCTAAGGCCGTTCCGTGAATTGTGACGGTTTACAAATCGTCAATCATTATACTATATATATATATATGCTAAAATATTTGTGTTAGCCTGCTTAACCCTGCAATAACTATTTATACAATTTAGAAAATATTTCAAATACTGTAAATACTATTGAAAATGTTAATTAACTTTTTAATTTATCACTGTGCATAATTAATGATCACCCACAGCGACTCAGTTTATGTATAATGAAATATTACAATATACAGTTGTTTACCGCCGTTGCGGGTTTCTTTTTCTAGGAATAAAACTTGATTTTTATAAATACCTAGGAAGTACGTATAATTTATGACGATTTAATATTTTAAAACGTTTTAAGTTGTTTAATGTACTAGGAAATTCTGGTTTATATGATACATTATATTTTATTAGTTCAACAATTTTAATATATTAATAATGAGTTGTTATATTTAAAATAATTAATTGTTTTCCAATATATTCTGAAGCTAAATACTATATTTATCTTATAACAAGAATTACCTACCGTTAACACTAACTTAATGGAAATTTTAAAATAAACGAAACTAGTCAGACTCTGGAAAAATGTCTATTCAAATCCAAAATAATAATAATAATACAATATGTAAATATATAATCAATCTAATAATCTATAATATATTATTAGAAGTCTAAAGCTAAGCTAACCTTTACCATTGAGCATAGAGATTGTCTTTACTCAATGCCAATAACTAATAGGTAATTTTATTGGAAATACAGTAAGCCTATTATGTCTTATTTTATTTTTATTTTAAACAAGCATTAGAATAAAGCACAACAGTCAAAATTGACAAACTATTCTCTGACACGAACTTAACCGTTCAGACGTCATAGTATTATAGCTAGAAAACTTTTATTGGGAAATATATTTCGGCCTGTAATGTGTACAATGCAACATCATAAAACTTAAACACATTAAAAAAAATTAAAAACTCAATCTAAAGGCTAAACTCTAAAAAAAAGTGCTGTTGACATTTGTTACCACTGCCGGATAATAGGGTTCTTAGTTGTAGGTACCACTGACTACATAAAAACTAAAGACTTTGTTTATACATTACTTTCAAAGAGAATGTTTGTATAATTTATTATATTGTGCTATGTGACATAGGATGGCGGTGTGTTTAAAAGTTAGACTAATCCCATTTCGAGAAAGAGAAAAAACATTACAAATGTATTTTTTAAGCATTGTTTTGTAAAAAATGTATAGAACGTCTAATTCACTTTTATGTTTTAACTCCTAGTTTGGCCGTAATATGATTTGTGGACTTTCGAAAAACAACTAATATACAACATGTATTTAGTTTAATAAAATCGTATTTTAGAAAATACAAACACAATAATGATTGACAGTAATTTTTTTAAACACATACCTCCATTGACACATTTATTCACTTATACAGAGTTCCTCTAAAAGGCCCAGTTGGTAGAGTTCAAATAGTATTTATCTAGTTAAAATTATTATTATTTAATCATTTATCATTTGATTATTTATGTAAAAAGTTATTTGTTATGCAAATTTCTTTAACGCAATTTATTTATTATTTACAAATACCTATGTTTATTATCTGTTTAAATATCTAAATTATAAAATTTAATACAATTATCTAAGATAAAAAAAAGTATTTAAACCACGCCACACATACTGTTTTTTTCATGCAGAACAGTGGTTGTTTTTTGTAAACATCCCTTAACATATTTATAATAATAAAAACATGATGTTGACTTTTAAAAAGTTATTTGTTGAAACTAAATAAGAGTTTAAAATTACACACTAAAAAAATAAAGGGGAACACTTTAAGTTTCGGCCTTTTCCAAAAAGCTAAGAAAATATTTTCTTTAGTAATTTATGGCAAAGCGAGAGGCTAATACTTGGAAAATCATGATTAATGAAGGCTGTGATAGTATGAAAAAAATATTAAATATCCATAAATTATGCTCTATTTATACTATCTTCATAAAAATATAAATTCATTTTGAAATAATTTGTTTTAAACTGTGGATATCGAACTCCAGAAAAGTATAGTATGTGTGGCGTCACCGCGATCAAACTTTTATACAAATAAAATCTCACAAATATTGTAACTTGTTTTTTTAACAATTTATCGGTCAAATTTAATATCAAATTAATATTTTTTTAGTAATAACTAATAGTAAATATTCCATGCGCCAAAAATGCGTTTGACGGTATCGGTGGTTGCTTTGTCAACTCACCATTATTCATTACATTCGCGGTCTGCGGACAACATGAAAAATTATTTTTGCACAGCCCGAGACGTTCCTCTCGTGCTAATGGCTTTTACCTAAGTAAACTAAATTAATTAGCAGCGCTATGGAAACATAATGGACGCGCCGTCGCGGAATTTAGTATATTCCTCTGATGTCGTTGATTGTGTTACACAAATTCGTCAGGTGTACCTTTCTCTTTAATTAATTCGATTTGTCATACTTTATGCTACGGCCGATGTAGCCCAATAGTGCTCAAACTTGGGAGGAGTATTGAAATGGACCCTATTAGTTGTAAGTTTGTAACCATTATTTTATCATTACCGTCGAGGAGTTTTTCAATTGTTTTTTCTCTTCTATCGGTAATGTGGGAGCCCCGTATATAATGCTGTGGCTACTAGTGTGTTCATTATTGTTGATTTTTTTTTCGAATTTTCAGCAGTGCTCGGATTGGAAAAAGTAAAAGTAGAGGGACGTTTTTACTTTTAAAAAAAACGTGCTTAACCGGCATTTTTTTACCCCTAAAATAACCACCCCTTATAAAAATCAACAAGAGTACTCTACGATTTCTGAAAAAATAGGTCGAGGTACTCAGACCCTCAATTCGAGCATGACATTCCGATTGTTAGTATTTAAATTTTGTTTGTTTAATGTTTTTGACGATTACGATAAGAGATGAATTACAATTTTTTTTTTTTTTTTAGTCGTTTAGTCGAATGGAAGTTTAGTAGAAGTATTATGTTTAGAATAATTGTGTGTGGACAATATGTTCGATTACGATTATTGGCGTGATCTGGTATGTATTGCTACTAAATATGCAAATTGTAGATTTAAAAATATGGTCATTGGTCACTGGGAGATACCGATTGTGGTTTGGTCAACACTATTATAATACCTATATATTTTGTCTATAGCTGCCGAACCATTGTACATATTTATTTCGTTAAAAGTAAGGCTTGCCTAAGCCGCATTAATTATTCGGTACCTATTAGGTAGTAAATTAACTATTGTATCGTTGCGTAACAAGTGATTGAACTTTTTTAGGTTTAGTCCCCCATAGCTATTATGGAATACATGACCATGACCCAAAACATTCTAGTATGATAAAAGAGTAATTACTACATTCTCGAAAAATACCGAATGAACGAATTAGAAATGTAAGTTTAGTACCCAGTTTTAATTTCAATTTTTTACCCCCAGAACCTTTTAACCGCAGAAGAAGAAAAAAATTACATAGCATTCCATTGTAGCGGAGTTACTATATATTATAAAAAAAAAACAATAGTGACAAAGCATATCGTCAGGAATTATTATAACTGAATGTGATGTAATCACTTTCAAATAAACGCTTCAATTCGAATCTGATCAGATATCTGTGTATGGTAGAAATACAAAAATTGATAAAAGCATTGCAAAAGCTATAATGTGCTTGAGATTATTTTTTTTGTAATAGGGTACGTACAAACGACCAATAGGTATTATGAAAATATTTTTTAGATACTTGTTGACTGTTGATTCACTCACACATAGCAACCTAGAAATTTACTACGGTCAAATTATGAAAAAAAGTTTGACTAAAGATTTTTAAGAAAATCGTAAATGTTATAATCTCAATCTAGATTACAGTCTAATTTTCAGACTTTAACCCTAAAACTTCACTCGAAAAAGAGAAACAAAATAAAAGTTTCCACTTCTTCTAAGGAAAAGAGTTCATGATTTTCATTTTAGTTTTTCAATATTTGTCGATAGTACTTTTCTTCAGAATATTCAAAATAAGTTTAGAACTAATTCGACGGTATTTAAAAAATAATAATAACGCCGTAATTTTTTTTTTTTTTTATGCTAGTATAGAAAATATTATAGGTTTATGATAATAAAACCATAATGTGTATACTATTTCTGCTGGGAATAAGATCAAATAAAGGCAACAAAAAAAATTGCTACTCAGAAACGCTTGGCAGATATGGATGAGAGTCAGATGTAAATAATAATAATGTTTTATTTGTGTATAAAAAAAATATATGATATATATTTTAATTATAAAAATATAATATGTATATTATTTAAAATATACTAGATCTTTTCGTTGGACATGTGTGCTTTAATATATTCCATGCTACAAGTTATATTCTATATTATGCTATATATGTATTATAATATGACCCCATCATGTCGGTCAGCTGTCGTTTTTAGCCACGTGGTTGTGTAAAAATGCTGCAGCATTTAATATGTTACATATTTGCAAGTAGTATAATATAGCATTTATGATGTATCTAAATGCTAATACCTACCTAGTGAATAGCACACAGTACATAGTAAATAGTATAGGTATACCTATTAGTATTCCTATTACCTACAGTCTACACTATTTGATTAAATATGCAATAATAATAAATATACATAATATATTTAATCTATGCCTCACCTAGAAAAAAACTTAAGTGGCCTTTTGTTAATCGTTATCAGTGAGTAAACCAGTTATCTAAAATATGTGATAACGGATAATGTCGTAACAACAATATTATATACGTAAAAGGCCAGTTTTTGTAAATAATAAATATTATTCAGTCGGTTGATACAAAAATAATTAATTTAAAAAAACATATTATATATATATATGTATAATTGACCGGCAATTGCTGCCGAATGCTATGCATTCGAGCAAAGTACAGTAAACTGTTTAATATGTAATATTCAAACGTTATTTGGCTCATGGCCATTAGCTGTTGTCAGACTGTGTATTTTTATATTATCGCACTAAATTGCTGATGCCGATGAATTTTGACACAACGCATGAGACTTGTTGAGAACCATCCGTCTAGTGTTTGTGATTGTGTATCGTGACCCACCACAACCACCACCACCAGCGCAGGCCGTTGTCTGTGTGAGTATATTCTTTCTTTTTAAAAACGGTGTTGTAAGATAAAATATTCAATGCCAATGATGTCATAGCCGGTTTATGCTGATATTATCGAAATAATTATTGACAGTGTATGAAGAGTCCGATACGAAGAGGTATTATACTATTGCCATAAACATATCATATCTATTAATATTTTTCTGACAACATTGAAGTGGAAACACTTGAAACAATGTCAGACACTCCCGAAGTAATGCCGTCGACGCCGAAAGCCAAGCCGGTAGAACTGCCGAAATTAGATGAAGACAGTCAAGAATTACAAAAACCCAGTATGTTGAGCACTATATCGAACGCGGCCATCACTTTCGCTAGTACGGCCATAGTGTATGCGTTAGGTTATTGGCGTATAGCCGCAGTCAGTACGTGGGTATTAATACCAATAATGACCTGCGTGTCTATGGCACGTGACCGTTGGCGTGAAGCCGGCCGAGAAAGAAGAAGACGTGCACAAATAGTGGCATCGGCAAATGAAAAAACATTGATTACAGCGAGTGTGGCCGAATTACCGTCATGGGTGTTTTTCCCGGATATGCATCGAGCTGAATGGGTGAATCAGGTAAGACTATGCAAACGGTTTATACAGATAAATTTAATTAACAATATAAATTTGTCCAATTTAGATCATCAGACAAATGTGGCCGTTAGTCAGTGCGTTTGCTCAAAACGCTATCAAACAAACTGTCGAGCCGATGGTCGTGGAAAGTTTGCGCGAATATAAAATCAATAACTTTGCTTTTGACAAATTACGTCTTGGATCCATAGTGAGTATATTGACTTTGTATTTGATATTATAATGTGTATGTTATATTTATTTATTTTATTTTTTATGTTATCATACGAATAGCCGCCAAAACTCGGTGGTATAAAAGTTTACGAAGGGGTATCTCGTGACCAAATTATGATGGACGTTGATCTTATGTAAGTGTTGAAAATGTATTTTCTGTGAAATTATAATTATTTTAGTTCATCATAAATATTATTATAGATTTGCTAGTGATTGTGACATATCATTTTATGTGAGTGGAGTTCCGTGTGGGATTAAAGACTTCCAGGTAACTGTGTGAACCTTTTTGTTTATTATTTCCAATTTTAATAATTACCTTGTTTACGCGTAGTCGTCACATTGACTTAATGCGTAACAGAATTTTAGTTTATTTGCAATTTTTAATTTCAAAGTTTGATTTATTAAATTAAGCAATAGTGATGCGTCATATGAGACGTTGTCTATTTTCTTTTAAGTACAATATTATTGTAATCGACTTTTTAAGAAGCGCACCCCTATCTACTGAAATTGAGAAGTAGTTGAATAAAAAAGCCAATTTGCATCAAGTTAATGCGCATTTACAACAACATTTTGACAACTTGTAAACGAGTAACTTTATCTAATCGGAATTTATTCACGCAGATGCGAGGTATAATGAGAGTAATAATGAAACCGCTGATCGCTACTTCACCGTTAATCGGAGGAATGCAAGTATTTTTCCTTAACCAACCCAACATCGATTACGATTTAGTTGGAATAGCCGATGTGTTGGATATGCCTGGTCTAAAGTAATATTTATTTCTCAAGAGTTGTATAGTTAATAATTTTATATTTTTTCTAGTGATGTGTTACGTAAAGTCATCACCCAACAAGTATCTGCCTTAATGGTGTTGCCGAATAAGATACCGATAGTGCTAAGCAATGATATAGCACCACAGCTAGTAAAATTACCCGAACCAGAGGTTGATAGCCAATAACCAAAATCGATTACTCAACTTGAATGACAATCTTTTTTTTATTATTTTCAGGGTGTATTACGTGTTCATATCGTTCAAGCTAAGAACCTAGTCGCCAAAGATATGAGCTTGATAGGAAAAGGTAAATCTGACCCGTACGTTGTTATTACTTTGGGCGCGCAACAATATCGTACTCGGACCGTGAAGAACGAATTGAATCCTAAATGGGACTATTGGTGCGAGGTAAGCTAATTTTTTGTACATTTTTATTTCACAGTAAAAATATAACATTATTTACACTGTAATATGTATGTTTTTAGTTTGTGTCGTTCTCTCCTCGAGGACAACTGCTTAAGCTCAAGCTTTTTGACGAAGACGAAGTGATGAAACATTCAAACTTGGGAAAGTAATAAAAAACATTAAATATATTTATCCGTATTACTACAATTCAATAACTACAATTTAATTTGTTTAGAGCATCATTACAAGTGTGCAGTGCCGCTATACATGGTGAAGTTGATAAGGTAGAAAAATTTAATATTTTTAATTTTGCAAACTAAGAACTATATACAAATAACTATTGTAGTTTTTAGTACTTTCAAGTATTTCAGCTTCATAAATGAATTGTTCAATAACAGTACTACAATTTTTGGTTTTTTTTTTTTTTGCTTAGTGGATTAATTTGGAAGACACCAAACACGGAATGGTACACGTGCGTTTGCAATGGCTAGAACTGACTTCTGACAAAAATGCATTGAAGAAGGTAATTTAGGTTGTGCTATAATATCTTTGCCATGTTTCTAATAGATGAATTTTTATAGGCACTGAGCGAAACGCAAGAGCTACGAATAACGAACATGAGTACGGCTGTAGTAATGTTGTACATCGATTCGGCCACAAACTTGCCCGTGAGTGTTCTTGATTTTGTTTATAACTAAATGACGGCATGTCTATTGTTTTGTATTAAAACGGTTATAGAACACACGGGCACAGAGCAAGCCCGATCCGTTAGTGAGGATTACTGTCGGCCAAGACACTCAATCCACCGTAGCAAAGTTGCGTACAGAGCGGCCTGTGTACGAACAAGGTTTTACGTTTTTGGTGAGCAATCCAGAAACGGACACAATCGATTTTAAGGTAATTTTTTTAGCTACATTTTATTTGTTTGATGCCGCGTAAATAATATATGGGGTTGTTTTCTATTTTATTTTATTTAGATAATTGACCAAAAGACTGGAGTTCAAATAGGAATTTATGAATACAAAATGATGAGACTACTAATGGCTGACAATATGGAACAGGAGATACAACCTTTCGATTTAATAACCGATAGTAAACATAAGCACCACGACTGTAAACTCGTGTTTTGTGCTCAACTCAAAGTATGTACCATGCATACAAATTAAATGTGGGTTCGGATGAAGTTCTGTTTTCAATAATTATAAATTACTTTTTTATAATATATTCAAACTGAAAAACTAAAAAAATATATAAACATTTAACATTTTTGATATAGATAACAAGGATAAAGAAATGCTGGAAAAAAAGTTAAATTTTGGTATACAAAAACAGTATTTTTTTAATTATAAAAATTGAATGACTCTGTTCAACAAAACTTAACAGTGTTTGCAACAAAAACCAAAATAGAATTTTAATCTGGTCTTGGACTTTTTCCAGCATGTCTGTTTTTGAAATCCCCTCCAAAATTGTATAAATGCTTTCTTATGCATTAATTTTTTTTTTTTCAATGTATTAGTAATTACTGGTACTTTAATTACATAATTTTGAATGTATATTAATTAATCATTTTTCACATCTGACTGTTCTTTATACGGACCCCTGATTTTATACATAGTTAGGAACTGTATTTATTTTTAATAACATCATTCATTCGTAGTTCCTTAATAAAATGCCTCCCGTCAAATTTGATGATGGCGATGAAGAAGGCATAACTAAGCCATTGTTAAGCAAACAGGTGTCATCACAGTCGTCCAGCTTCTCCGTGATAAGTAGTACTGGAAGTACTGAAAATTTATCGTCCACTGTTAACCCTGCAGTTGTATCTTCGAACGGCACATTAAACAGAACTTCATCGACCATAAAACGAGGAGATTCGGTTAAATCTCGTATTTCCGCCGGTGAAGGAGATCTAGAACCGTTAATCGAGCAAGTCGATTCTCCAGTCGTAATGTCTGAGCTGTACGAGTTTTTTTTTACATTGTAATATAATGAGTATTGATTCTATATGTACATATTTATTTTTTTTCAGATACGGTCTCCCGCCCAGCTCTGGACCTTTGGGTAGTATCCAGCTAAGTTTTGCTTATAGTGCCACTAGACAACGTCTCAATGTAACAGTTCACAAAATCATGTAAAAAATTCCTTCAGGGAGTATGTGTTCCTAAATTAACTTATTTTTATTTTTTATAGAAATCTACCAGTTAAAGAACCATCAGATATTCCCGATCCTTACGTCAAACTTTACATATTGCCGAAAAAAGACAACGCCAATACCAAACGCAAAACCGAGGTAAGAAAATTTGCAAAAGTATTGTGCGTTGTATTATTAATAATTTTTTATAAATTAAAATTGATTATTATTGACGACAGGCGCTCAAAGATCAGTGCAATCCTGTTTTCGACGAAACATTTGAATACCTGATGGGAGTGGCCGATATAAACAGTAGGCAATTGGAGGTTACCGTTTTGACTAAAAAGACTTGGCATAGTCCGGTGTTGGGTCAAATCGTGTTGAACTTGAGCGATTACGTCAACAAAAACACGACTAATTTCACGGGCTGGTTTGATTTACAAGCTGCAATCAAAGAGAACGCTGCTGCTTAAAGTTTTAAAAATAAAACTCTATTTTTATAATAACTTAACGCCGTTTGTTTTATGATAATCTCAGCTTTGTATTAATATTTGTTTTATAATAAGAATCACTATTGCTAAGTCGCATTTGTTGCTATTTTTTTTTTAATAACACATTGTTTATCTATGTTAATATTATTGTTCCTTTGTGGTAAACAAATTTTAACTCATTTTTGCCATCGCAAATATTATTTATTTTTGTGAAACGATTCCGTCAGACCAATGTGATAATGCGGCATAATGAAGTCTTTAATTTTTCTTTACAATAATTGTTGTTGCTTTTTAGTAATTTTAATAATGTTTTGATAACTAGTTTACAATTATTATTTATATTGCATATTTTATAATATAGTGTTTATTTTATTGTTACATAATATACTTGAATAAACCTTTTTAGTCCACCAAGTTTACATTCTTTTATCTTATTTATTGTGCAGAATATATAATAATAACTTAAGACATAACAAAATACGATTTTTTCTTCTATCTTGCTTTCCACTGTTACGCTCTTCGCAATGATTTAACATTCTGGTATGTCTTTCTCAACACGCCAAAACTGACTAAACCTTTGGTATTAGGATTTAAAGTTAAGTACTTAATAATATATTTTGAAGTCATTTGCATTATAATTAATATTAAAAACTTTAGGCATAGTTTTAAATCTATTAGATTTGTCAAAAATAGAATTTGGACCATTTTGTTTCATGTTATAAAATATTTTTATTACGTTTGGTAGTTATCATTAAAAAGTATCAAAATATTAAGTTAATGAATAACGTAATCTAAAATTAAATTTGTTAATAAACAGTTGTTTATATACTAATTTAGTTTTTTAAGTACTTTTTCAAATCACTCAAGTACTCACAAAAAGCATTATTTTTATTTAATTAATATCTCAAATACTCTATTTCTCAATACTATTCTCAAAATCTATATTCGTGAATATTTTTAAGTAGTTTCAAATATATTAATTAAGTTTGTTCTGCTATTCCTAACCATACCTACCTAACCTCTAATTGAATTACTTTTATACTATTGTGTATAATTTAAATTTATTGTGAGCACATTAATTAGAGCATTCTCACATCTTATTTCCTAAGAATAGCCAGTTCAGCTTTGTATATTAGACATTCCTCATATTAAATTTAACAAGAGAAAGATTTGTCCTTAAATAACAGAAATTCTCGCTAAATTTGTAGCATTTCATGGCCAAACTATTGTTATGTGGATTTTAATAATACTAAGCGAACAAAAATTAAAACTAAAAATAAGTCAATATGTATTTAATATTTTTTTATAAAAAAAAAACACATAATACACGGGTCGGTAAAGAAAATTCAACATATAGTTTAATCTTCTTCTTCTTCGCCAGCATTTCCATCGTCTTTGGCGTTCTTGGCCTTCCTCAAGTTCTTCCTCTTTACACGTCCAGGACGGCCACCACCGAATGGAGACTTGAGTGAGAAGTCAATGTGTTTCTGTGAGTCCAAACGGACAATGAATGAAGGCACGTTCACGACTTGTTTACGGACACTATGAAATCAAGAAAACTAATTAGGATGAGTAAAACAACAAGTTATTACAGCCAAAAAGTTTATTGTCTGCATATTATAAAACAAACAGCAGAGAAACGGGTTTCTTTAAAATAACTCACTGAATTCTTTTCGGTCATAAGAATGAATATGATTTATGTTGGGGACCAATAACAGAATTCACAACATTTATTATGTTGTAACAGACGTTAAAATGACATTTTTACAAATGATCATTTTAAGTGGCCTGTAATATTTAATTTAACTGAACCGACATTGAATACAATTGTTTTTCATCTAATTAAGAAAATATATATTTCTATTATACACATTTGCTATTATAATGCAATAAGAAAACTACAATACACCTATACAAAATAATTAAGGTACAATTTTTTTTAAACTATCTTTTGAAAATAATCTTTTCATTTTTATTTGGATCATTGTCATAAATAGAGTAAACAAAATATCATGTATTTTAATCTTTGAAGAAATGATGTAGCATTGTCATGAAAAAGGTCAGAAAATTGTTTATCAGATCTTGGATTAACACAATGCATTGATTTCGCCTTATTGTGATTAGGAATAGTTAAAACTGTATTTTTTTAACATCCTTGCCCAAAATCAATAGGCTTACTGTCGTTTAATCCAAAAAATATTTTACTTAAACCGTAACTGATAGTGATAAGTAGTCTTTTATAGATTTACATTAATAAGCGGTGTGCGAGACAGCACAGTACCAGTTACAGGTTAAGATTATCTAAGAAACTGTCCAATAACTTTTGGTGTTGCATTGTCATGAAAAAGGTCAGAAAATAGTTTATCAGATCTTGGATTAACACAATGCAATGATTTTGCCTGATTGTGATTAGGATTAGTTAAATTCATATTTTACTTAAACATCCTTGCCCAATATCAATAGGCGACTATTTCTTACGTAATATTTGTTTTTAACATAAATAATTTAAATGTAGCATTGTCATGAAAAAGGCCAGACAAACATATCAGACCTTGGATTAACACAATGCCATAATCTAGCCAGACTGTGATTAGGATTAACTTGGTCGAACCATAGCAGTTATCCTTGCCCAAAACAATTGGCAAATATACATTTTCTTAACGACTCTTAAGTCCATAATAATAATAAAAAAAAGTACATACCGAATATGTCTTTGACGAATCAAAACTCGAGCGTGGTGAATAGACTTGGCTAAACCTAGCTTGAACACCTAAACACATAACATTGTACATTAAATAAATAAACTGATACAGACAAAAAATAAATGTTCATGATAATGGTCCAATAACTCTCAGAAAGTTTACTATCAACAAATAAATTTCAGAAGAGGTGTCAGAAAATAATTAAAAGATTCATCATCGAAGATATTGGATTTAGTCTAAAACTATCAAACTCTCTACCTATAATGTAAATAAATTTATACCTGTGTTTGCAATCTGCGTTCCAAGAAATCTTCAATTTTCAGACCCAAAACGTAATCAAGCTTCATACGACTTTCGTCCAACACTCCGATACGAACCAATCTACGTAATAGAGCGTTACCTAATGATACACGTGTAATGATCAGTTAAATTGTTAAAAAAACAAAAAATATATAATAATGATTTTATTTGACATTAACTACACTCAGCTAGTTATAAACGGCAACATGGTCGGAAATTCAGACGAGAGGTGTCAGAATACAAATTATTATCATCATAGTGTCGAAAACAAGTCAATATCATGTTTTTTTAAAGAAATTAAAAAAAATTGATCTAACCTTCGAAAAGACGTTTCTGGTCTTTCTCTTCAAGGGTCAAGAGTTCTCGAGCAGCCTTACGGATCTTGGCCAAAGTGTATTTCACTCTCCATACTTCACGTTTGTTTCGCAGACCATATTCACCAATTATTTTCAATTCTTGATCCAAACGAGCCTTCTCATACGGACGACGAGGCGTCACGTATGTCTTACTGTAGACAGACGGGATACGTCCGTTTACCATTGTGAGAGTTTACCTAAAACTAATAATCCAAATAATTATTATAGTTACCAGTAAAGTACACACTCAATTTTTAAAAATTATTATGTTGTAAACCATTCCATACAAGTAAAATAATCCGTAACGAAATTCGTTTTATAAAACGAAAACAATACACACTAACAATTTAAAATTCTACACCATACCTAATTTAAGATCCAACAACGGATAAGGCAACCGGCAAGTAATAAAATAATATTTAGTTTTTACAGCGTGGATTGTAAACATTAAATATTTAGATTTTAGCTTCAAAAGCACTCATCTCAGTTTATGAAATATCGACATGTGCCAACAAGAAATAATTTGATGATAATCAACTGTAGTGCGAAATCTACAAATTATATTAACATTAGTTTTTCGATATTATTATTCATTCTAGTAAATAACTAAACCGTTTATTGTAAACGCCAAGTTCTCCGAACAGCTAATGAAATCTAATACACGTCACCGATGAACTAATTTTCATCCGTTTCGATCGAACCGAGCATATAGGCTAAATAAGTGAAAATCCTACCATTCCGTCGTTAAGACTTGTGAAAATCAAATCTACTTAAAAACTAATAGTCAAATAAATTGAAATATACTTTATACTTACAAGAAATAATCAAGAAACGGGACGCGTTGTGAGTCCGCACGCATCCAACGACCAAAAGACGAATGCTCTATTCAAGAGAATGGACAAGGAAAGACACTATTTAGTATTATGTCGGCGGACGGAATTCTTAGGTTATGGCAACAAACGATTTTATTGTGGCGGGGGCAGACAGTGTGGCCAACGTTATTCGGGCTGGCCTTATCTCGGGACGTCCTCGCCGATTGTCGGTACCGATTACGGTCGTCGCCGTTATCAACAAATGACAACTGGAAAATATTCATCCGTCGCAGACGTGATACCCGAACGGGCCGAATCACGTAATAATCCATAACAAGTAGTTAGCGCCGTAATCGTTTTTGGAATAAATCAAATCGTTTTCCTGTAGGATCCTATTGCCGATAATACCGGTCACAGCCCACACGGTCCATCGCAATGGCTGATAAATTCCCACCGAAAATCACCGCGGATGATCCAAACGAAGAGGATGACGACGACGATATTTTTAGTTCGACAATCGATGTGAGTATGATATTATAATGTACAGCCTGCACATCAGCTATCCTTGAACGATTCGTGGGGCGTTTTTTTTTTCTCTAACACAAACGACTTTCTGTTGCACAGGATTTGAGCGCTTTACGAGTTGAAGATACATATTCGTCGCCGCCACTGGCCGACGTGACGTTGAATGAAACCCCTACAAAAGAGGTGGCAACAGAAGTTCCCCTAAATGATGATAACGACGAGGTAATTGTCAGGTCTACATGATTTATTTTTAAACATTGTCTCAGGTTGGCTCAATGAATATATATCATAATACGGCACGGTTGTACATAGGGTCATGTTTCAATTAATAAGTATTCCCCTTCTAAACAATAGTTAAGCCATAAAAACAATTATTAATTTTTTTTTCAACAGTATACAAGCAATAGCTGTTGGAATCTATATACACAGCCATTATTTTAATTGATAATTCAATTAACCAAATTGTTTTTTATTATTATCTAATTTAATCTATTGTACAAACATATTGAGGACATAAATATTGACATTTATAAGGATATTTAACATGTATTCATTACCTAATATTATTAAACATTTATTGTAAAATATTTCCTTTCAATGTCTGACTATTTTCAATATTGTATTTTTTTCTATTTAAACAAATCATTTTTATCTATTCACAAAGTGTGTTCCTATTTTTATGTTGATTAGATAGAGTGTGTTATCTTTTTATATTTGTTTGGATTTTGATATTCATACATTTACATCAGTAATTATTAACGACTTGTCAATATGGACGTAGAAAAGATATCTCTCAACATCGTAGGACAAGGACTATTTCAAGCAAACGATTATACTTTTTACCATTAATAAACAAACAAAAAGCTGTAATCAAATTTCAATTTTTCCGTTAAGAGTTTTTTAGAAATCTAAACAAGAGATATCAGTCCTATCAATTTAACGTATTATATTTATTTTATTATACCATAAATAACTAATACATTATTTTGAAGTTAATATAATATTTAGGTAGGTAATAGATGTCTTGTTAAATTCAAAAATCATTTTGCTATATAATTAAGCTCAAATAACTTTTTCAAGTTGAGATATCCGTATTAAAAAATGATTGTATGTTTTGACAATTTGATATAATTTAACATTGTATTTAAACACTATTTTTTTTAAATACTACATTTAAGTTAAGAAATTCTATAAATATTAGATTTCTGTAAAAGTTGTTTGTAAGTTGTTTGATAGATTGAAAGCCAATCATGAAAATATAATACTTAATGAGTTATGCACATAGCTTGCCTATATTGGTTGATACCAACATAAATATATTTGTCACAACAACATTATTATTAATGTCAAATAAATTTCTATTCAAGGTAAATCATCAAGAAACAATTATTACTAATGCCACTTCAAATGGATTTGAAGAAGAAATTAATTTAAAAGAAAACGATCCACCTATGATTGCTGTTAGCGAAAGTAACAATAAAGTAGAAGAGTTGCCATCAAAAGAATTTTTTGATGAAAAAAATAGCGAGAATATTAATGAAAATGGCTTTATAAAAATATCAATATCTGAAACAACAAAAGTCGGAGAAGGCATGAGTTCCTATGTAGCATACCGCGTTGTCACACATACAAACGTGGCCATGTTCAAAAACACTAATATGGCGGTGTTAAGACGATTTAGTGATTTTCTCGGATTACACAATAAACTGACTGAAAAATATTTAAGAAACGGACGCCTTATACCACCGGCTCCTCAAAAAAATGTGTTAAGTAAGTAATTTACCATTGTAAAGTTTTATGCATTTAGAAAATTATGCCGTCGTGAAATAAAAAAATAATGTATAAATAATGTCTAGGTACCACTAGAATTAAGATATCAGGCAATCAATCGGACCAAACAACGTCGACCGAGTTTATAGAGAAGCGACGTTTGTCTTTGGAAAGATTTTTAAAACGAATTGCCTTACATCCAGTTTTACGAAACGATAAAGCATTTTGTGATTTCTTAGAACAAGGTATATAATGTAATTTCTATTGCCTAAAATATACAGATGGAACATTTACCCCGAGGACTGGTATAGGTGGTTGTGCCAAAGGGATAAAGAGAAATAGATGGGTTTTTTTCACGCAAAAATAAAGAGAGACAGCTCCCAAAGGACGACCAATAGGAGGACTCATGTTTTGTTTTTTGGATGAATGATATTACAAAAGTCTTGTTGGTTACAACAGATCCTTGGGTGAAATTTAAACGTGTTATCATGTGTTCCGTCTGTATACATATCTGGATATTCATTTTTGCTTGTCGTTATGAATTAATTGCTGATTACAGACTGCGAGCTTCCCAAAGCCACTAACACGTCTGCTTTAAGCAGTGCGGGTGTAATGAGACTTTTCAACAAGGTTGGAGAGACTGTTAACAAGATCACTTATAAAATGGATGAAAACGAACCCGTAAGTTCAAACATTTATTTTCAGTCTAGAAATCTGATACTTTTCAATGTTGAATACTCGTTTTTAACTTTACTTCTGCATGTGTGTTTCAGTGGTTTGAAGAAAAAGAAGTTCAAATTGAAAACTTGGACTCACAACTTCGTAATTTACACGGTGCTGTGGAATCATTGGTGATAAATCGTAAAGAATTAGCACATGCTAGTGGATCATTTGCTAAATCCGCAGCAGTTTTGAGTAATTGCGAAGAACATACAGGACTCTCACGTGCTTTGTCACAACTAGCTGATGTATTTGAAAAAGTATAAATTAATTTATATGTCTTTTTCATAGGATACTAATTAAAAAATAATAAAAATCTAACATTAAACTATGTTGTCGATTACTTGAATGTTATTTTACCCATCATATAAAGTAATTCTCAACACAATTTTTGTTTTTTATTTATGTTCAGGTGGAGTCTGTGAGGACTGAACAAGCCAACACAGATTTTTCTATCTTCTGCGAGTTGCTAAAAGATTACATAGGTCTGATCGGTGCTGTAAAGGTATGTGATAATCATAAAAATATGGTCTTTAAATGATTTTTTTTTTTGATGTGTAATTAATTTAAAAAATCTAAATAACTAACAAACTAACAGAAAACGTACAAACTTATAACTATATAAAGTTATATGAAACTGACTGATAATATTCTAGGATGTCTTTCACGAAAGAGTGAAAGTTTACCAAAACATGCAACACGCTCAAATGATCTTGTCGAAGAAACGGGAACAAAAAACAAAACTTGAGCTCACAGGACGTTTAGATAAAGTCGGAACGGTCGCAAACGAAGTAACGGAGGTATGAAAAATATATGACTAAAAAATGTTTTTCGGAATTATTATAATAATTACTTGAATGATATTTTTAGTGGGAAGCTAAATTGTCGAGGTGCCAAGATGAATTTGACCAAATATCGAAAACTATAAAGATTGAATTTGAACAGTTTGAAATTAACCGTATTAAAGAGTTCAAAACAGTAATATCGTCTTACCTTGAAGAGATGATTAGTCACCAGACTCAGGTAAACAAGAAATATATTAGTTAATGCAAATATAAAAAAAAAATACATTGTTATATAATATCCAACAATACTTTCTAGGCTATGTGTCGAATACAATATATATATATATATATTAATTAATTAATTTTTTTTTCTAGATAATAAAACACTGGCAGGCTTTTATTCCTGAAGCAAAGGCCATAGCCTGACCCAATTTGAAAATTGATTGTGATTTGGGTTTGTCCAAGCGTGAACCCATTCATATTCTACAATTTACCGGAAACATTTTAGAAACTTATAAGGAGTCATAAATATATTTTTTTTAAAAGTCTTCATTTTATATTATTTATTTATAATTTCAAAATAAGTTTTCCATTAAAACTTTGAATTTCTTTCAGGGATATTTTTATATTATCGTATTAAATTATTATTTATTATTATTCTTTTATACTATTATTATTATTATATGATAATTTTTAAATTTTTCATTTGAAATACTTTAGTTTATTCCTTTAATTTCCAATTTACACATTTTTTAAACCATTATTGTATTAGTTATTTTCTCGTTATTATTGTAACATTTTACGATCATGTTCATATTATTTATATAGGAAAAATAAGTTGATGTTACTTACGAATATTTATTATGTTAACATTATATTATATTATTATGTATAAATAAAATGATTTATCTATTAATATTTAATTGTATTTTTTAAAGAGATTGATTAGGTAGACATCTTATAAAAACATTTAAATAATAGTCATTCATCGTTTTGGTTACAAATAATTGGTATTTAAGGAAAAAACATATATTATGAGTAAAAAAAATTGTTGAAATGTTAAATTTTACACGCTTATAACTTTCGTAATTAAGTGAGCTAAAAAGATACGTTAGGTTTTTTTTAAAAGGAGGAGTTTAAGTTATAAAATGCACTCATTTGCGTTGAGATCTCCCCTCTAAATAAAATTCTAGTCCTGTACCTGTCTATAGCCCTACGTAAAAGACTTATAATTACTAATTTCAGTCTTCAGATACACTTAGTAGATAAGTATCAAAAATAAAAATTGCTTAAGAATGTTTTGAAAAAAAACAATATAGCTAGAACTGTTGGGATTTTACTGATTACTTATTTTAGTATTATTTGGGAACAACTCGTTTCCGTACAATAATTTTTTATTGCATTAGTTCAAGACTTCTAAACAATAATTTATAACTCACACGGCATTTATCAGTTTTTTTAAGCATCCCATCCCAACCTTTATAGTTGGTTAATTTTCAGTATCAATGTCCTCAAACAATACTTTGTTACAAAAATAATGTATCGAGTATCGGCTGATGACTGATGAGTTACAAGATCATTAGTACAATTTATTGCGGATAATATTTGTACTTCTTGGTTATTGATTGGTATGTGAGAGGATAACATTGAATTTGGCGGCCAATACTCGTTGTGGAGCGTCTGGTTAGGCGCCAGAATATTTTGGCGCCGGTTGCCGCGGCGCCTGTGGGACGCTTCGTGTGACTGTGACGCCAAACCGTACAATATTACCGTAATGATTTATACTCAGGCACAGTTCTTCGACTTCTCTTACGGAGCTAGCTGAATCTAAAAAGAAGCGGCAACGGAATTTAAATAAATCGCAAAAGACGATATTTTTTAGGCGCTTTATTAAGTCTATAGGAAATATATATCTATACTGTACACAATATAAATATATATATATATATATACCGTCGAGTTAATTTTTTTTGATAAGTAGAGCCAAAAAACTTAATAACTTTTATTTTGACAGGTCCATTATTTGACTCATAAGTACCATTTGAACTTGTTCTATGCGTTTTTTTTTCATAAATAAAAATGTATAGTCAAATTTGGTCTTTTGTGATCGTAGACATTTCACGTTCACATTTTATAAATGTTTGGGTACCTACTCTATATTGGTCTGAATGACGTATTTGTGTGGTCTTTACCACATAGTCCTCGAAATGGTTGACCATAAAAACAACAAAGAAAAGGTTATACCGAAATTAACCTTTTACCCGATTTCCTAAGGTTATCGGGTTTTATCTTGAGCATAAAACCAACATTCTGGACCAACCCACATTTTTCAATTTTGTATACTATACAATATTTTGTCTTATATACTTTGTAAATCGTAAATGGGTATTTCAATATTTTACAGGATAGGTAGGTAAAATATTACATTGGGTATTTAATTTTTAATTTGTTTAAAACGGATAACCGACAGTTTTCCAATGACAGTAGAAATATTTGATAGAAACTTGGTGGAAACCGTAATTAGAGGTAGTTAAAAAAAAGTTGATTTGCTAATACTTAAAACGAAATTTAAAGAGAAAATTGTCTATATATAGGTCTCAGAAGTCATACCCTCCAATTTGAAAAAAACTGTACCGCTTAACTGACAAGTATATATCTGCTCACATTTCTGTTCTATTATAATAAGCATGTGCAATTTTAAATACATTGCACTAATTTTACCAACTACTCTATAACTATTATTAATAAATAGAAAAAATATCACTCAAATATTTTCTGGGGGGGGGGGGGTTGGTTGTGAGGTTTAGGGCTTGAAGAAATTTTGGGTAAACCTTGCCCTCCTATTTTTATTTTCTGTGATTTTTTAGTATTCTAGGCGTCAGTGCCCAGCGGTACCTATTAATAAACGTGGGTATAACCTGGTAACTGGATAACGTTAGGTATCCTTAAACACACACTTATACGAGCGCCTTTGCAAATATTCAAAAAATAATACGAGAACTCACGAGCAAAATAATACTATTATGTTATTGTTTTAACATTTTAAAACAGATATTTTTTTTTAGTCACTTCCGACTCGTGATTTTCAAAATAAACATATACATAGTAACGTTACAATTTTCGAGGGACCGCCTAATTGAAGGGGCTCTTTTAGGGCTTGAAAATAACAAACATCTCGTGTTTACTTTGCACCTGCCCCAGGATTGTTTACATTACACGCACACGGAATATTCACAGGACACAGACCTATTATACAGCTGTATTGTTGTGTATTCAGCAACAGGCCACAGGGTCGCCGCCGAATTGAGATTGGTCGCACCGTAATGGCCGCCCAAACAAAAACCATTAACGATACGGGCGAGCGCATTGCAATGTCGACGGTATACACTGAAAAAAGGCCGTAGATGATGCCGCCAATACAATCGTTATCACAAAACTCGTTATCAGTGCATAACAACGTTTTAATTTTAAAAAAAAATTATTCAATTTCGGATTTTATTGCCCATTGTTCTACTTAAGTCCCGTGACGTCTGCGAGCCGCAAAAAGTGCACCGAGTGTACAATGCCGTCTCACATGAATTGTTGTTTCAACAAGTGTACAAATTCCAGCAGGAGTACGCAAAACCTGTCGTTTCACAAGTTCCCCACTAACGAGAGCCTGTGAGTATATTTCTTTTGCGTGCTCGTGGCCTTTGCGTATGCGTGCACTGAATTCATCAAAGCTATTACAAATTTATCGTTTTTTTTTTGGCGTTTGCCCACTTTTGAAGTTTTTGCACATCGTAAAACCAAATACGCTATCAGTCGGTGAAAAGTGTCTACGTTATTTGATCGCTGTAGTGGCGTAGGCAAATCGTTTAGCGTAATCGACTTTACGGTGTGCGAAAAGTTACCCTCATTAAACCCGTATTAACGTTCATCATTTATCTTTTTACATTATTGACGTTCGATAATAATGATCGTCATCTGTAACAGGTGCAAACAATGGGTGGAGTTATGTCAGAACGATAAAGTGATACAGAAATTCAAAAACCACGGTTCTAGCCAAGTGTCAAAAAGTTTCAGAATATGTTCGGAGCATTTCAAACGAGAAGATTACGTTCTGTGGACGACAAAAAAGAAGTAGTTATAACAATTTTGTTATTTACCTACATACTATATAACTAACTATTTTTCTAATACGTAATGTCATTAGAGTATTGCACAAAGGATCCATTCCAACGTGTCCGGTGATAAGCCCTAAAACAACGCACGCCACAATCGCCACCTGGAATGAAATGAGTATGCGTACGTTTTATTTTTAAATATAATGCGCACCTATCGTCTTTTTTTCACTATGTTAATATTTTTTTTTTATTTATAGTCACTGAAGAAGACGAAGCCATTGCTAATAATACAGGTTGGAGCCCACGCGCTACTCAAAATTTTGATTTAACTGGCCAAGGTAGGATCGAATAACAACTTGTAATATCGCTATGTATTAACGCCGTACATACTTTTTAGTACCTGAACAGGGTAAATAAACGGCTGGTCATACCCAGGGTGGAGTCCTAGAAAAACTCCAAATTCTCAACTAAGCAGTCCAGATATAAATAGATTATTTGTGAAATATAATGACTTTTATGACTTACAACACAGATTTGACAGCATTTTGAATTTGATTAAACATTTTGGAATAATCATACATCTATGCTCTTTAAAGCGATAAAACTACTTTGAATTATTTGTACAACACCTTTGAATGATTTCAACAAAATATATATTTTCTCAGTTCAATTTTTTTTTTTTTAGTGTTATTAGGAAACCAATATGTAGGATCTAATTATATTTTTCTGTTATTTGTAAGTATAATAATTACAAATAATAATATACATATATGTATAAATATATACATAAATTTTTTTATTTATTTAATATTACTATTATTATTATATTTTACATCAAAATATAACAAACAAACAAATTTTTAATTACTTTCTGTTTTGTTGTTATTTACTAATGAACTGCTTCAGCTAGAGTAGACTATTTTGTTTTATTAAAAATGCAAACATAATGTTTGCGTTTATTAATAGCGCTTTTAGTTCTAATTTGTAAATAAATTTATATTTCTTATATTTAAAGGTGAAAATGGTCATTTCAATAATGTATAAGAGTATTTTAACACGTAGGTATAAGTAAAAGTCTATTTGGTTTAATTTAAAATATGTAATAATAAAAATTTGAATATGCTTAAGCTTTTATTATAATATATTGTTTTAGTTTAACGTTAATATTGTATTTAATATTCTTTGTCAAGGTGACATTCATACTTAACGTACACATTTTTAATGATTTCATTCTGAAGTGTTTTTAACTTCAAAATTTCCATTTTAAACTTATCTTTGGTGCATCAAAGAGGCCGATAAATATTTTAAAATAAATTAATTTTTAAGCTTCTAAATAAATGTTGACCCATAGGAAATTTGAATTTAAATATTCAGATTTCTGTTTTCTCGAAAATAGGAGTTTATTATGAATAACGTCCTCATAATAAATATTATTCTGTACATTTTTTTTTTTTTTTAACTATAACAAAATGTTCATGAAGTTGTGGATACAACACTATTACTGGTAACTTTTTGAAATTTTAATAAATAAATAAAATGTTATGGTTGTACTTTAACATACAATTTTATTTGTTATGTTCAGTAAACGTAAAAACTAGTTTTACACAAAGACTTGTTCATATTATATAATATTTATCGTTGAATAAATCGCCTCATGTATTTATAAATATATATATGGATGTGTATATATGTTCATTATAAACTTCCAAACAGCTGCACTTATTTTGATCAAAGTTGGCACAATATTATTTGGATCCTGGAAAGAAACCCCTATCACCTTTAGGTGACAACAAGTAAAAATAATCGAAAACGCCAATATTAGTTTCAAATACAGATCTTTGTCTAGGGTAATCTCTGAAACTACTGGTTAGATTTCTAGGTAGATGGAATGGAGTCTGGAGGTAGGATAAGAATGAAGATGGGGAGCGGATGGGATACTATTTTTACTGTTAACCGAGCGAAGCACGTACATGTTTTATAAATAGTTTTATTTCACATAATATACAACTTCTTGTACATGATTCAAATTTGTATTTGAATCTGTTTGTTCTGCCTTAATTGATTTACATTTATTTTAGTTGTGTAACAATATCCGATAAATTATTTTATTAGTTTTTAAAAATAGTTAATTTAAAAAAAATCATAACACTACAAGAACGAGGAATACAATGGTTTTTAATTAAAATTTTATTTATGTATCTATAGTACACGTAAAATAGTGCATAGATATATATTATACTTTGTACATGTACACTAAAATTTGAAGAATAAATTACTATTAGGTACACGTGAGTATTTTTAAAATACAAATTTTAAATATGGTAACTAGAGTAATAATAATATAATAATGAGTATGTATATGTAATGAATAATACAGATCAATATTAAGACTAATAATGATTAACAGGTGACATTATATGTGAAATAATTGCATAATAATATTAATTTATAAAATATGTTATTGTTATTATTTGTATGGATTTACGAGTGTAAAAAAAAAAAAAAACTACAAAATATAGGATCTAATATATCTATAACACATTCTTCTAAATGGGGAATGATATGATACAAATCACTATTACGTTATAAAAAATTAATTATTTATAACACTTGGTTAGTTATTTTCTTAATATTTATATAATAATTATTATAAAATACTGTGAACATAACTCTAGAATGGCGTACATATTATTAACTAAAACTTTGTTTTAGTTACCAAAAATTACATACAATCTTATAAACATAAAATGAAACATATATTATATAATATGTAATCAATAATATTAAAAAAAAAAATCTTATACAAATATTAGTGTTAATAAATTATTTCAATTAACTATTATTATTTAATTTTAATTTGGATTGAAATACATTTATTAAAATATTCATAAATTTATTATTGAAATTACTGTGTGAGTTTCAAGCGTCAAATTAGACTTGTTTAAGTTTGGATTGCACAATTATGTTAATGACGCACAGTTAAAATTAGTAAAAAAAATTGTTTAGTACGCTTAACTAAAATGATCAAAATTGTATATCTATAACTATTTCATTAGCAAGTATGAATATACAATAATGTACCGAGTTCTATAGATAAAAAATATCGAAAGAAAATGTTAATATCTATTTTCAATGTCAAAATCTAAATTTGTTTAAATAAAACGATTTGACTAAATGCTTAAACTAAAGATCACAGTTTAAAAATTTTACAATATAAGTATAAATAATAATAGTATAAATTTCAACATTATACAGAAATAACAATTTATAAATAACTTAATTTTAATACTACAAAAGTTAAAATATGTAATATTCTCAAAAATTATTATCACAATAATAAAATAGAAATCAACGGTTTGGTCATGAGTTAATAGAATAATTGGGTAGCACTTCTTGTCCTTTTTCGATTTCGTAATTTTTCTGTTCTTGAGTTGAAGCGTTTGATGACTGCGTAGTTTCAACAGTGTTTGTAACTAAAATATAAATAAATTGACGTTAATAAATATGTAAATTAATTTTTAATTTGACATTAAAACAAACTAACTAACAAAATGTGTAATAAAAGGTGTTTATAATTAAAAATTTTGATTACCTGAATTCGGATGACCTCCGTAAGGTAAGGAAATGACAGCCACAAATGCTAAACAAGCCGGTATAGTCCAGTTGTATATCATAATATCACGATAATATGTTGGACAAGCCTTACAGTGTCTACGATACCAGTAAAATAATCAGTATTAAAATTTCTATTTAAAAAAGTTATAAATCGACTTACAAAGATTGTACGGTCATTACGACAGCGCCATTGCACACTTTGTCTGTAAAACTCATAAGACCAAATGTAAAGGCGCCTCTATGAGTTCGATCGCCAATAAAATCTGTAGTAAGCGCTTGACTGGTAACTAATAATATTGAACAAGCGACACCTAATAAAATCCCAAGAAAATATATTTTATTTATTAGCTACTCACAGTGTACAGAATAAGTTTTTAATATTTATTGATATAGTTAAGACTCAAGAAATTTGTAAATTTTGCTAAACATAATATGCAGAATATATTAATGTTATTAAATATTTATAATGAAGTTAAATTATAATTTAGTGTATAAATAAAAAATCAAATTAGGTAAAAGCGCTAAAAAAGTTTTTATTAGGTATATTTTTATTATTTAAAATTATTGCATAATAGTTTTCAGTGGCAAATAATCTTCTACGGCAATAGAAGACAATGAGATGATATTTACTCACTTTTATCATATTTAAAAAAAAAATATTACAGATTTTGAAAACAATATTTTTTCATTCATCACCCTGACTAAGACATGCACCTCTCTCTACTACTTAATTTATTTTTTAACCATAAAACATATTGTTTACATATAATATATTACCGATAATTGTGGTCACAAAGTACACATGATAGTTAGCGTAAGAATATCCATTTCCCAAATAACACCACAACGCAGAGCACAGCGACAGAATGACTCCAAACGTATAAGTATACTATAAAACGTACGTCAATTTCAATAAGAAATTAATTTCTAATAATTTAATAAATAAATACTGTTTGCGTGCTTACTTTTCTACCGAGTTTCATGTTCATAATTTTATTTAGTAGAGACATACCAAAACTACTAAGGAACATGATGAGCGGTAATAATGCTAATTTTTCTGCTTCTAATTTCAAATAGTCTTGCAAGTACATTGGTAGGAAAACCTAATATCAAAAATTAAAAATAAGTTGACAACCTAGTTAGATGGGAAAATATTATTTTTTTAAAAATAATCTTCATTTTTTTACGAACAAACAAATGTTAGAAATGTTATGTCTTATAAATATTGTAAATTTGTTTGATATTTTAATAATATTTGTAAGACATTCAATTTTTAGCTAAAACACATTCATGAAATATTTTTATATTAATACTCCATCAGGCGCACAGTTTTCAGTCACACAACTATATTATGTAACTGGGGTAAATTTTTGCCCTGTGCGCTCTACATAGGGTTAAACATTTTTTAAAGTTTTGGTTGCCAACTGGGATTTTATTATGATGTAACAACAGCTGCTAAAATCTCACCAAGGTCATGTTGACCACAATTCGAGAACACATGTATACAATAGCGGTTTGATATAAAGTAACACGCTTAAATATTGACCAAAAACTATCGGCAGCCCTTTCGGCTTCGGTTTCGGTCATCAGAAGTTCTCTGTTCCTGCGGGATACATCTGGTTCACGTACCCCAATGTGAAATATAATAGAAGTCATTGCACCGACAACCATTATTACTAAAATTACAATCTATAAATTTAAAAAAAAAAAAAAAATTGCTATGAAATACTCCTCAATTTCAAAACGCTTAACAATTAAATACTGACCTGGAATTCTTTTCTTTCCGCTGGGCCAAATTGAGTTTTGTTTGCATGGTTACTTCTGAGCACAATCCAAGTGACCACATAAACTAGGATATTTGAGAAAACAGTAAAACTGTACCTATAGAAAAATAAATTGCAAAATAATGATTATATAATATAATATATTATATTACTATTTTAATAATAATAATAGATTTATTCAGTACCTAATCGACAACAAGGCCGTTCTCTCATCCCTAATTGGTGTCAGGTCGGATGCCAATGTCATGTGAGAGTTTTCAATGGAAGCCCATCCAATTTGGAAGAACACGATGAAAAAACAATAGTACAAGCATGTATTTAACTCTGATGTTTCGGCTTGAGGTATTATCGGCGGTGAGAATGCGAATGGCAAACTGATAAACACCAAAACACTACCTATAGTTTTTTTTTTTTTTTAACAAGAACACAATATAATACAACTTCATTAACATTAGGACTGACATTGTAGAAACGATAATATTACCAAATAGATGCCATGCTTTTCGACGTCCATAGCGGTCAATACATCCAAAGCTAACATTGTCCGACAGCACACCAATAGCCGCTGTTGCTACAGCGTCTGTTAGCTGTCCGACAAGTACCACAGCTCCTGCGTTGATGCTGGATAACTGTATGACATAATGGTAGAACACCAGAGCGTAAGTAAACCACATTGATGCAACCAAATCATTGAGCACATGTCCAACCCCGTATGACAGGAATCCAAACCACTTGAGAGAATCTGACATTTTACCTTCATTACCTGTAATTCAAAGTAATTTAATAAAATGCATCTAGGCTTAATCATTTTTTTACAAATAGAATAAAAATTATATATATTATATTAGTTATGGATTATTGGTCGGTGTTAAATAGGTATAAATGTATTATCATCGATAAATTGTTACCTACATTATTAATGTATTCATTTGTAATAAATAATAATAATACTTTGTATGCGTTTGCTGTTTACTTTTTTTGCTGGTCCTATTCCAGTTCTTTGTGAATGACTTTATAACCAATAGCCAATTTTTAAAAACAATTACTACTTTTTGTTTTATAAGATTATTCTATGATAAACGTGATTGTTTTAATTTTTTCAATAAAATTCCAGACATATTTTATTAACTACTGACATTTTCTAAATAATAATATAATTAGTATTTATTAATTATTAGCTATAAGTCTCAAACATCAATATTCTTTTTATTTATTACGATGATCATCATAAATGTGAAACGAAGATTAGAATCATATACAAAATATTATAAATGTATCAAACATCACTTCATGCTTAAGTAGTAATATTTAATACATAATAATTGGTTATCTATATAGGCATCGTTTTTATTTAGAGACTTCATCAAAACACTTTTATTATTATAACATAGCAACAAATTATGTATAATATTGTATACTACAGAAGTAATGATGATAAAAAAAAAGGTTTATTATTATGATTGGATAGATAAAATGTAGTAATAATTTTGTAGAATCGACTGAAAATATTGATAGTTAGGTTCTTCGATTTTGCCTTTTGCTTACCTTATCTAATATTTACAACCTATGCATTTTTAAATACAAATATTAAACCAGCTGATACTCATATTATTATTCTCGTGATTGAAACAACATAGCTCTACGGCGTTTAAAAGCTAATAAAAGGTCTTCAAGATTGTTTATAACTAATTAATAATTGAGTTCTGACTTCTGAAAAGTAGTTTAGCCGATAAAACCCTCGGAATATTGAAACAAAGACAAAATAAGATAAGGTCATCTTTTTTTAATTTTTTCAACTACAGTAATATATATATATATATATATATTACCCAACGATTATTTTGTATTGATTTTGTTATTTCACGTCTGTTTTTTTAACATCAGTCGTTATATTTTGTTTATCAACTGTCATTGCCATTAAATAGAATTAATTATTTTACGAAATCCATAATCTGAGAATATTTCAAATTAAGAGATATTATATATATATTATTTTTCCTTGAAAATTCGAAGTTTGAGTTAAAGATTGCTATATTTTTAGACCTTTCACCTTAGTAATTAAAATTAATTTGTTTTGTCCTGATTCGTTATTCTCTACAATTATTTTCTTATTTAGCTGGGATAATCTCCATCTATCATCTTTGTTTTAAAATTAATTTCATGTTTGTTCTCGATGTGTCTTTTACAATTTTTTGCCCGATGGGAAATTTGCGTTTTGCAGTCTTCAATTTGGCAAATATGTTAACCAGTGGAATAATCAAATTGAAAAATATATCAAGTAAAGGTTAGTATTCGAGTTCTAGCGGTTTTAAAATATAAGTTTTTTAATTTTTTACTAGAATGTGGTGACTGTGGCCTGTGGTAGTCCAAAAAATTAAAAAATTACTACCTACTAATAAAAAAATGATTATTATCATTGTATTAATAAATATACGCTATTCGTAAATTAAGTTCTTTGAAAATTTGCTTGTACTGAACGCCATAATAAAAATGCCAAATGGTATGTGGCGACGGTGATTACATTTATAACTTTTACTGTGCGGTTGTTAATTTCCTTGTCGTCAAAATGTCAATTGACTAAATTAAGTTTATCTACTACTTTGCACAATAGGTATGTACTTGTTTGAGGTAATTTTTTTATATTTTGTTTACGTTATTAACTTAACATCCCAAACAGTAATGGCAGTTCTTACCTTTGTTTTTACTAAATAGTTTAAGAAAACATCATTACTGTGATATTTGAAAATTGTTTCTATGAAAAAAAACCCCTAATCCGTTTGATTGTGATTTAACCGCGCTATTAAAATTGGTTACAAATTTAATCAACTTTTATGACACACTTTTGTTTTGACAACCTGTCAAGTGGAAAACGGCTTGTTTGCCAATCGAGCATTGTTTTTTATTCATATTATACCTAAACAGAAATCGGAGATTAAATGGGTATTAAGAAGCTTTAATATTTAGTACCAAACAGTCTCGCTGAATACACTTATACACCTAACACCTTAACAGATAACCTTAATAGAAAAGAGGAAATGCATACTTTTGTACATTTGTAAATTATAGCTTTGCATTGTTAGAACTAAATTTGAATTTCGGTAGCCGTTTTTCAGTTAAGTAAAAAAAAATTATTACACACAACAAAATGATCAAAACAGAGATGGCGTGTTAAAAATAAAAAGTTTATAAACGACATTTTTTTATTTTATGAACCTAAATTTGTTGTTTATTTAGAATTAAAATAAATGTATGAATTAGGTCTTTTGATCAGTAACCGAATTGATTTTAAAAGTTAAATTTTATTAAAATAAATAAAATATCTACTTTTGCCTTTTATTTTACAAAATAAAAATTATTGCTATATTTACCTGCTCTTAAATAATTATTTTATAACTGCTGAAGCTATGCTTCTTATTTTATGTAAAATAAAAGTTTTATTAAAAACTTGTTGCCACTACTTTTAAAATAGAAGTATTTTATTTAAATTGTTTATATATGTGTATAATATTACTATACATTATTAATTCGATTTTGAGTTATTTATGTTCTATATTTATTAGCATGTTTGTTTTTTGAACAAACATTTTCAATTATGTATTAAAATACTAAATTCTTAACATAAAACCTAACTTAAATTCTTGAAAGTATGTTATGTAATATAATACTGTTTTTAATGTCATTTTATAGCTTATTAACAGTTTGAAGCCAACGAAGTCATTTACATTGTGTTTGTGTTGTGTTGTTTAAAAAATAATATACAATTTTCTAAACATTTCAAGGTTGTTAAATAAATTTACAAACGCGTGTGTGTGCTATAGTTTACAAGATGTATTTTTTTATTATAACAGATAAATATGCAGTTGTTATAGTCACGCTAAAAATTTTAATTTACATCAAGTTGAATTCTTTAACAGCCATAGAGAATTTTCTTTCATACTTAAACTAAACAAATAACTATGGTGGTTCCTAAACGGTGATTTTATTTGGGTCTGTGTTTTTTTTTTCAAATTTATTATCGAAGTTGTAGTCCAAAGTTCATACAGCTTTTACGCAGTTATTAAAAATTCACAAATTATTATTATTGTCTCTTTAATTACACAATATACTAATATAATTTGTTATTATTCAATGAGCATGTCGGTTGTATTTACAATGTTATCTGTGACAGTTGCTGATTATCTAACCTTTAAAATCTATTTTTCATTTTAATTCCGTACTTGTTTACCTAACGTGAAGTTGACTATCTGTTGACGTATATATATTATGACGAAACAATAATTATAATTAGTTATAAAAGACTGACGAATTCAAAATTTACTCTTATCCAAACTATTTCAATACGTTGCCTCGTTCGAAATAAAAAAAAAAGTCACAACTCAATCACTATTTTTTTTTTAATCATAAATACATCAACCAGCATTTGCCACTAGATCAAATCTAATCGGTTTCAATTATTACTGTTATATATTGCAGTTACATTGAATTTTCTAAGCTTATCGGCGATTTAGAAACCTGTGTAACTCTCAAGACACGTGATTGTAATTTGTTTTTTATACTTATATTTCGCGATCTACACTATTTCATGAAAACTACTGTACTATAATATTCATATATTTGTTAGTATACTATGGAAATACTTAAGGTATTACTTCATGATATTATATTGTAGCGGGCCTAGGTCTTATCCGTTACGGTGAATATTTTCAAATCACACTGTGTATAGTGTACATTTACTAACAGTAAAATTAAAAAAAAAAAAAAGTTAACTTCTCACCTACGCTCAACGAAAACTAACAATCAATATGAATAAAAAAATTGTTTTTTTTTATTGAGATAAATACAAGCTTTAACAATTTAGTTATTAGCCTAAGTGTACATTATATATAAGAAATTAAAAATTATTTAAACATCGTGTGTAAACATTATTTATCAACCCTTAATAAAAACCACTTTATACCACGTGTGAAAAAAAACACTCTCGATACAAAAAATGAAATTATTAGTATGATATAAATTTTCTTAAATTCATTAGCTCCTAAATTTTTGAAAAATTTGTTTTATTGTATTTTTTGATAAAATCTTTGTTATAACAAAAATGCATTATTATGTTGATAAAATATTTATGGGGTCATTTGCACTTATTTATTCAATTAGTTTACATTTTTTTTTAATTTAACGTTAATTTTCGTTGAGTGAATCCACGTGTAAAGACTAGTGGCGCTACCCCCCCAAGCATTAATTTGAAGCTAATTGCGCCACTGGTGAAGACACAACAATTTTCTATTGTTAGTTTTTCTATTTATAATAATAAATAATAATACATCAATGATCGAACACCGAATAAGTTTCTATACGATGGTTTTGTGGTACTTATAGATGCAAAATGATAACCGATGTCCAAAGAAAGAAATAAAAACAATCACTGTAGTTTGTAATTTAACGTCGCTTATCAAATAGAACTAAAGAAATATAAGAGATAAAAAAAATTGCTAATTATAAACACTGCGCAATAGCAACGTCAACAATCATAGATATGCATTTTACGATATTATAATTTATTACCGCTAAATTGATTTCTATTTGTACTCTAAGCGTATTGACCAATCTATAATGATAAAGGCGCCGTCAAAATAGTAAATTGCAATTTATAATCGTACGCAGAGTTCTACGGCGCTTAAATAATGTCTATATTTTATATATTAAATTGAATGCCTACGAAATACGTATGTGGACTTAGGGAGCGCGCCAAGATGTTTAGTCTATTACCTCTTGTCAATTTTAATCTTAATATTGTTGGTCATTTTTTAATTGTTTTACATAATAAGTAATGACCGTTATCGACACTAACAGGCAACGGCTATAGCCTATGACTTTAATTAAAATTTGAGTCTAGGTTAAAAAATAAATAAATTGTCGAAATTATTAAATCACTTTTGACAAAAATGTATAAAAATATAAAGTATCAGAAAACATTTTTTTTTTGCTACAACTTGGTCCAGGCCTTGGACTCCAGGGTAGTGTGACGCCAATACAAATTACGTCTTTGAACCAAGGACTCACAACAGACCCATTACTTACAACTACGCATATCCAGCGTCTGGGTATTGTTTCATCCCAGCAAAGCCTAATCACGTCCAGAGCCTATCCGGTTAGTGGCCTAAACACGTAAGCTGTTCCCACGACACCCAGGGCCAATCTACCACATAAATACCGTCCAAAGGCCAGGCACAATTGTCAGACGTCGTCCAACGGTTAGTCTACGCACTACTGCTATTAGACCTTTTATTATTGTGTTTGACTAATTAACTTTACGTTGTGTGTTGTAATTATTTTAAGTTAATTTCATTGTGTCTTTGACTAACTTTGGAGGTAACTTCTGTAGTGCCTTACCCTCTCTTCCATCCTGAAAGGCTGCGGCATTACAGTAGTAGTTTTTTTTTTTATCACTTTATACATACAATAAATTAATAATTATTTTTATAAAATTATCAGTTGGTATGTATTTTCATTAACAACACATCATTAAAAGCTGATTGAAACAAATCTTAGAAATAATGCATTTTTTTAGCAAACCATTTGTAATATTTCGATCAAAATAAACTAAAACGTGTGGATCAGTGTGAATTGTATTATGACATACATACGTAATACGTTGTGTGTGTCAATGCATATACATTTTTAAACTAACTAGTTGATTTTAAATATATTTTTCATATTCTTTAATCCCTACTATGTTTTTTTATATTACACAAATACTTCTATGTTGTACTTATCTTTAGCAGATTTTTGCAACTACATAGTCCATTGTCAAATATTTAGTACTTAATCTTTAGTATTTTATTTAGTTTCTCAAATCAACCATAAAAAAACTCTATTCGCCGTAGAATATTTCTGAAATTGTAACGTGTCCATTATATGTATATATATATATATATATATATATGTATTTTTTTAAATCCTTAAATGTCTACTTTATAAATAGCTTCTGTGACTGCAGGATAATAGTAAAAGTGTTGTCTGTATTTATTGATTAATTTTATCGGTTACGGTCAAAAGTAATCGTGTTTGTGTAAAGTACATTGTTTTTGTTATTGGTTAAAACCGTTCGTTGTTATAGTCGCATATTATGCGTATAAAGCCCGTCCCGCACGACTCGCGTACTTGGCGAATAATCGTCAATCGCTATGCTTTATGAGTCGTGTAGGAGATATTTAATCCTAAAGAATGACGATTATCTTTAATCGTCGTTTCCGGATGGTTTTTGGTAAAATATGACACATGTCAAAGGGATAACGAACATCGGTGAATAATTCGGCGAGCATCCGCGATGACGATGATCGTCAAGTCGTCACACGAGTCGTGTCACGTGTGGGACAAGCTTTACAAGGTAGGCATCTAATTACCTATCATGTCTTTCCTACATGTGGTCTGTGGATGTTAACGGTAATCTAAGGGGCTTTTGTGGTGTTCAGATTAATTAATGTCACAAAAAGCATATAAAAATAAATATCAATAATAATAATGCAATGTAACGTTTTTATACGTATTAATTATGTGTCTAAATTATTGTATTGTTTCAAATGGGATCAAACCGAGAACATTTTGAATTTTGCTAAAGAAAAATTTAATTTTTTTTTACGTACAATTAAAAAATAAAGGAATGACCCGCTGCTACATTTATAACATGCTTCCAGCGGCATTAACAATAGTTGTAGGAAAACGATGTTGACTCTGTAAGTCTGAATTTGTTATGTGTACTCGACAGACACAGCATAATCATTATTATTTACCGTGGTTGAACTATACACATGTCAACCGCATACAGCTGTGTCATATTTTTCTCGGCCTTTTAAATGACGTCTATCATCACTTGTATAAATACATTTCTGTTGAATATATTATGCGAATACTTCGGGAGGTGTACGAATTATCTCATCAAGCATAGTTAAGAAAATCTTCGATGACAAAACATTTTTTTCCATAACTTATTTCGTTGATTATATATTACTAGTATTAGTAATGATTAATATATAATCAATGTCTAAAATTATTAGCTGTGGTCCAAAAAACGATGGAAAAACATAATGAGCCCCCTTCCCCTCAAATACGTTAGCAGACATACAATTTTAATAGGTTTACTCCGATTTTTTCTCAATATTTACATTAACTGAATACCAAACATTTATAAAATATAATTCTAAACATTATTTTTTCAAACCAAGTATTTACTTTATAGAGAGTTGCGTAGTAACTAATACTTTAAGCATATGGTGTGCATGTCAGGTACCGAATAACAAGATGGGATAAAGAAAGATATACATATATAACTTTATAAATAATACAAAGTGGGCTTCTTTTTTAGGTAAACATTATTACCTTTACAACGTTTTTAAAAAATGGCGTTAAGTACCAGATTTTACAACAGCGTAGCAAACTTTTTCTGATAGCCGAATGGTATGCAATGACAATAATGCAAAATATTACGAGCTTTATCGTAAAACTATTACTCTGTGCGAAAATAATAGAATAAAGATGTATGTGAAGATAGATTTAAGAATGATTTGAAACGCATTAAATATTTAAAAAAACAAATTTGAAATTGAATCACTTTTTGTTAAAAGGGCATAAGTTAAATTTTTTGTTAAATCTTTTTGCAACTTAATAAACTTGAATTAAATATTTTTACAGTATCGAAATTTGTATAAATTTCGAGTACCATGCACGTCGTAATGCACAAAAAAAAATATGATTTACAAAGTTACCGCATTTTGAAAGTTATGCAGTTTTTTACCATTTCTCAAAAGTTCACCAGTTAAAACATGTGCAATTTTAACAAAAAGCGATTCAATTATAATACTGTTATTGCTAAGTTTATTTTTTAACAAAATATTTACATCTAAAATCCCTTAATTAGTGAGTAAAGAGTTTACATACTTTATAGGATACTTTTAGAACATAAGTTTAAAAGGACCAATTTCAATTTTTGGTTAAAAGGACTAGACTTCTACTACACGAAATTATCTTTTTGGATGCACTTGGCGTGTGATGAACAAAATCAATCTCAATGATTTTTTAAAATTTAAGTATACATATTATGTAATGTAGTTAATAACCAGAATAATTGTATTTAGATTTTCTAGTGTATTATTTTGCTAACAAAATGTAATTGCAAAAAAGTTATGATAAAACCTGAGAAAAATGATGCGTTTTTATTTTTAAACTATATATTATCATTGTGAAACAAAATCAAACCTCAATTACTAAACGATTTTAAAAAAGTATTGCGGTTAACAGAAATTAACGAATAATTAATTCATATTGCAAAGGATAAATAATTATGTACAAGGACTAGAATTATTAGACTTGTTAATAAGTTTAAAGACTTATTACACTTGCAAGTGGATATAGATTAGTACCTGACGGTTGGCCATTGAGTTGCGCTGCTCGTTTGAGCTCTTCCCCTTTTTTCTGCTCAATTTGGTTCGTAGACATTTCGGGAAAAAAAACAACTATTATAAATATTTTTCTACATGCAAAGATTTGTCACCGGTCTTCTATACAGTGTGATGGCTGCAGTTAGTATAATAATGTACAATTTAGCAAACTTAACGAGCACACCAACGGACACGCGGAATTGAACTCATTGGAGTGAGTTAAGCTGCAACCAACACTAACAACCGACTGGCGAGCGCGGACATTTAGCAACGACTTATCGCACAACAGTTAAACGGTTATGAACTCCACAAGTACAGAATACAGTGATTATGAAAATAACATAATAATAATGATAATATAATATCAACATGAAACATTTAATCAAATCGATCGACTGTAACAATCATCGTCGAACTCATGAATTGTATGTACTCAATGGTTTGTTTTCCAATCAGCCGTCGACAGCCTTCTAACGCAGATAACTGCGAACAGTCTAATACTTTTAAATATGTTATAGCCGATAGATTACAATAATAACCCAGTTATGACTGATGTGTATCGATTAACATAAATCATAATATTGTTATCGAATTATGCAGAGAATACAAACAATACCCAATACTAGCTAAATAAAAATTATAACAATGGTGGTTTCATCGAAAAAAAAACATTTTAGTAGTTAAGTATCTCTTTCAAATTTCGTTCTTAAATTTAGCAATATGTCAAATATTCTGTTTGTCCCATAAATGTATGCACAACACGTATGCGACTAACCAACGCATTCTACATACGTACTTAAAAAGTCGAAAAACAAAATATGAACTATTGGAGAACAGTGTGAAAGTATCGTACATAATCATCTCGGTAAAGCACACTTGAAACTAAACCATTTCCAAATTTAAATCTACATGGCCACCATAAAGTTCCTTAAATTATATTTTTACTATGTATAAAACATTTCTCAATTCGCATCAAATCTAAAATGTTAATATTTTTTAGTATTTTTTAGTTGGGGTTTCATTTTTACTTCCGAAGCATGATAATTGATTTCAAATTATTAGCTCTATCCCGGTCGAAATTTAAGCACATTTGTTAACGTTCCTTTTAAAAAGTAATTTGTTCCTATAAAATTAATAAAACTGATTCCAATATTTCGTTTACACTTTTAAAACGGAATTGATTCCCATCCTTGTTCCTTTCTCGTAAGATTTTTAGCAAAAGCTAGAAATGATAATATTTTACGGTTTTGTTTACATAAATAAATGGAGTAAACGAGTAAATAATTTGAATAAACGAGTAAACAAATTAAGTTGATAAATCTAGTAAGTAAATGAGTAAATATACCGAATAAACAAGAACAAATCGAGTAATTGAGTAAATAAATTATCGTGACACAAAAGATCTTAGAAATTTGTTTAAAAAAAAACTAGACATTTTTTTCTACTAAGACATAATGTATATTATATTAAAATAGATATGTAATCTAATCCCGGTTGTTCGCCTATCCGGGATCAAGTAGCAACGGATAAAGCCTTTAAGGCCGAGTGTCATTTATGTAAGTCACTGAGTCATAAGTGATAGTCATAATATATTTCTTTATAATTTTATTATAAGCTTATTGTAATTTTGCCCAATTAAAAATTATTAAATTAGGGGTTATTATTATATTAAACGAATAAATAACAAATTTAATTAACAATTAATTAACTTTGAATAAATAGAAACAAAATCATAGTGTCTACTTTATAGATTATAAGTCAAAAGACAACAATATTACCTCAAATTAATATGTTTATCTTATCCCAGTATTTACTGTACTTATACTATTTATAATATTTTTTGTTATAGTACTTCTACTATTAAGACGTTAGCACGGATGAGTGCAAAATAAACATTTTAACTTTCTTTTTCCTACAACAGTTCAAGTCGCATAGATTAGACTTTAATGTATACTTAATACGACTTAATGTGGACTTAATAACTATTAAAACATATTGTTAGAATTACAGTAGGTATTATAAATTTTCTGTCCAAATTATATCCGTGGTAAATTGTCATTTGATAGATTCAAGGCAAAGACAAGTTTATTGTCCTAAACTCATTTTAGCAAGACCACTACATGGACTATAATTTATAATTTATAAGTAAATTAAAAAAATGTCTACATGAAGCATATAGGTGGAATATTTTGTATCAAAACGGGATAGATTACATTTCATACCATCAAATTTAGAACTGAGAAAATAATTTCAAAGTATTCTGAAATATTTATTGTATAAAAAATACAAATGAAGTTTGTTTGCAGCTATAATGTAAGAAAAAATTATACATCACACCGATAAAAAAAAAAAATAACTTATGTTTGGTAAACTTGTCTAAACAAAAACTGTTATCAAATAGCTTAGAAGTGGAGGCGACAATCAGTATTCAGTACTTCAGATTTTTATTTTTCAAACAGTCGCTTGACGCGTTAAAAAAAACGTCAAGTATCAGAGTATAACTTCTGATTAACATTGCTGAGACTAACCTAATCTTAAACGAGAAATCCTATTAAGACTAAAGAGCAATTAAACGTACGAAGACTACACCGTATCCGATACAAGTAAAACAATGAAAATAGTTAATGGAATTATACCTATAATAATATATTATATTATATTTCTATTTTTATTGACTATTACTTAACTATGAACTCGTACCAGATTGCGTTACGTTAAACTACTTAAAATAAACGAGACGAATCAATACTAGTCGATATTGAATTGAAAAATGTAGAGGCTTTAAGCTAAAGCTAGTAATGTAGAAGCATGGTAATATTTATAGGCTTTGTTAAATAAATCTAGTAAATGAGTAAACTAGGAAAAAAAGGTAAATGAGTGAATAAATTACATTGATGCTAAAAATGTCTCCCCCAAAGTCTCACAAATTTTCTTGGTCGACCCCAACCTAAGTACACTACATGTTAAAAAAACAACTAGAAATGTTCAGTACTGATGCAAATGTATATGCTATAAAATTATACATATGTAAGCTAATTTGTATTAAATATAATTGCAGAAATGCTATCAATGTCCGATTAATGTTTACATTGTTCAAGACCTTTGCCTTTTAGTGAATATTGAACATTTATTTTATACCGTGTCTTTGATTAACCGAGTACAAAAACCAAGTAAAACTCTCTAGAGAAACAATTTTAAACAAATTTTGTTCTATACATAATAATAACGGACAGATTATAGGTCCCAAATGGAAATATGCGATTAGGTTGATAAATGCATTATACATAATAGAATTTTCAACGTAATTTCATTATTTATTATTATTATTAGGTAGATACTCCTATCTTATCCTATGTTTTCGAAGCACTATACTTAGATAGCTATAATATATCATATTAATTGTTATTTTTTGTCAAGCAAATTTTAATAGATACAAAAAAAAATGTTTTCTACTGCGAAAAAAGTAGCTTATACATTTAATAATAAACAATAAAATTGGCAAAAAAAAAATTAACTTGGTTTAAAACATATAGATAATTTTTTAGTATAACTTAAAATAAAGAAGCGATACATCATATCAACAGCTGAGTGAAAAGGATAAAAAAACTTTATTGATTATAATGTACAATGAAGATAGAGTTATTACAAATTTAAATATAATAACAGATAATTTTTGTACGAATGTAACGAAACGAAAAACATATTAAACCAACGCCTTTGTTCTTTAATGTGGTCACTTGACCTCTATATTCACTTATTAATAAAAACACCAATAGGATGAATTATTATTATTGAAATAGATCGCCCATTAACATTGAAAGTAGAATCACTAAGTAGCATAATAATATTTGAAGTGTAGTATGCAATAGTACGTTAATATTATAACGAGTATAAATAAAATTGAAAAATAAAAATACTTCGTACTAGGCTTTAAAACGGCGCCTAAAGAATGAACTTAAAAACGGACGAAACAAATATTATACCATTAAAATATTAAAAACAAAGTAGAATTAAAAAACGTACAACATCTTAAGGGGTTAGGGGTACTCAGGATTTTTAAAAAATCGATTTTTTTTTGCATTTTCTTAAATTATTATGTCTCAAAAATATTATCTGAACATTTCAAGTTAATCCAAGGAATAGATGACTCGATGTAAGTAATTAAATAATTAATATTTTTACACATGTATCGAGTATAAAACTTTTTTGAGTTTTTCTCGAAACTAAGTTTTCAAAGTCGGTGACCATTGTTATTCAAAAACTACTTGATAGATTTATACGAAACGTATACAGCTTATTAAAAGCATAAAAAACTAGTACCTGATCGAAGGATTTTTTTTTTTTAATTTTTATAAACAAGCGCTTTTTTCCTTAAAAAACCTTGAGTTAATGATCAAAGGACGCTATTTTGTTTATTATAAAAAAAAAAAAGCTTCGATCAGGCACTCGATTACCTATTAAACTAATGATGTTTTTAGGTTTGATTGATTTTAGGTGAACCAGTAAAATTGTATGTTGGTCACCGCAAAATACGGCTTGTGAGCGGGGTCCAACAAATATAGCGATAACTTGGTCTACCATATTTTTTTTTCTTTTTTAATTCTTGTCAATTAAGTTAAAACCTAATATAATAACTTGGTATTATTTGTCTTATAAAATAAATTAAACTACTGTAAAAAAAAAATGATTTAAAATACTCATTTTTTCACCTCCCTGACAACCCCTAACCCCTTAATGGTAACGTATATATATTTAATTAAGGCTGTAGGTACCATTGTTGTTCATCTGTAATATTATTTAAGCAATAAAAATTGTACTAAAAAAACAAACTGAAAAATGTGGGCTTCTCTATGTTTTTACATTTTAATTTTATGTTTTTTTCCTTCAATGCAAAGCTGAGTGAATAATGCTTTTAAAATGATATAGTTTGTTTGTTTTTTATTTGGTTGATTTGTACAGTTTGTTGTTTAAATCCACTCACGTGCTTAGGTGTATAGACAACACATATTTTACATCTAATTTTCCTCAAATATTATCACACCGCACACGCTATAGGAGTATGTGTTATTTGAATAGTTCTAGCACATAAAATATGTATTAATCTTGTAAAGGAACGCATAAAATGTGTTTTTATTGTTTCAGAATAACTTTTTATGAATTATGGCCCAAGTTTAAGAATTGTATTTTTGAGATTACGTTTCATTTACGAAAATTGGCCATATAGATAACAGTCGTATACCTATAATTAGTAGATATTTTAAGATGGTCAAATAATTTAATGCATAGAGTTTAGAATTACATTATAATAGGCCGTGTAAAGTGTGTATCAGTATTCCATAAATGATAAAGAAGAATTTATAAGTTGTGTTTAGCCAAGGATTAGCGGTTAAAATAATATATTTTCTATATGGTTAACAAATATCATTAAAA